GAGCCGAGTTGGTGACTATTTTATGGTTTCCAAGCTTTTGCAGAAGCTCAACACTCAAATCCCCCACGAGATCTCATCGTCAGCTACATTTTCCGACCCCACATCGATAGGTTCTGATAAGCCGTTCTCGAGATTTCGAGGAATTTAGGCAAAGCTCAGGGTGCACTACTATTAGAGAGAATACGGTATTCTGTATTTTCTCTAATAGTAATGCTCTCTCCCCATCTGCCTGGCTGAGTCGAGTTGATGATTGTTTTACAGTTCCCAAGCTTTTGCAGAAGCTCAACACTCAAATCCCCCACGAGATCTCATCGTCAGCTACATTTTCCGACCCCACATCGATAGGTTCTGATAAGCCGTTCTCGAGATTTCGAGCAATTTCGGCAAGGCAACACACGGTGCACTACTATTAGAGAGAATACGGTAATCAATGTACTCTACTTTCTAACTGAAAAGCCAATATAAACAATAAAACCTAAAAACGATTCAACCAAACACCTAGTTGACCACTTTTTATCTCTTAAACTTCTCTCAGAAAACATTTTTTTTTGAATATAAAATACTCTAGATAAGATTTTGTTCTATTCAAATTTTCTTTAGATCTAAAAGATGATTCGAAGCTGTTTATTGTTTTTATTGTTAACGATTTGTTGCTCGGCGCTTTTCTTCGGTGGTGGATGCTGTGGCGGTGGTGGAGGGGGATGTTGTGGTGGAAGAAAGAAACGGTTTGCTTATCTTTAGCTATCAAAAAAAAAAAAACAACAACTCTAAACTGGTTGATTGTTTAAAAGCTTCCCCTTATTCGCATTTTCAGCTCAGCCGATGTGCAATGGGCAGGAGTGAGCGGTGAAGACCACGATTCTCTCTGCAATTCGGCTCATCTCCGTAATCTCATCAACGAGGTTTGAAAGGGAAAACTATAAAAATTCCTCCAATTCCACAAAATCCCTTTCAGACAATTTCCACCACTCCAGAAGCATCAAAAATGGCTTTAATGACACGCTTGGCAGCTGAAGGAGAAAATTCAGCGGTAATGCTTTAAAATCAAACTTGAAATCAACTAGGGAATTGCTCGTTTTAATAGCTGGCATTTTTTTAATTAAAAGGGATTTAAAGGGGCTTTAAAATCAGGGATTTTGTGTAATTTTTGGGACTTTTAATGATTCTCACCGTCTGGATTACGGTATTCAATCTAAAATATGATATTCGGTCTAGAATAGCTAGATTACGGTCTAGAATAGCTAGATTACGGTCTAGAATAGCTAGATTACGATCTAGAATAGCTAGATTACGGTCTAGAATAGATAGATTACGGTCTAGAATAGCTAGATTACGGTCTAGAATAGCTAGATTACGGTCTAGAATAGCTAGATTACGGTCTAGAATAGCTAGATTACGGTCTAGAATAGCTAGATTACGGTATTTAGTCTAGATTTGAGCATTCCGTCTAGATTTGAGTATTCAGTCTAGACTGTCTGGATTACGGTATTCAATCTAGAATGGGATATCTCGGTTTTTTAATTAAAAGGGCTTTAAAATCAGGGATTTTGTGTAATTTTTGGGACTTTTAATGATTCTCATCTTTTTTTCTATATGTTTATATGTTATTATTAACTTTATTATTAACAAAATATCACACTCAAAACTCAAAAAGTGATTTGATTGACTCAAATTGACGAACGGGTGATTAATTGATAGAATAAATGAGTCACATCTCATTTAAAAGACTTTGAAAAAGACAATCATCTGAATGGACTCTCCGGTACATATACTCAAACATGTAAAAGGGAAGTCTATCTTGTGTGGCTTGATTGCTGATTGATGCTTGATTGCTTTCAGTGTGCTTTCAGATGCTTTCAGCGCGTCCCAAACTACTTCAACACACTGAGGATACAAATAAACCAATTTTCACACAGCTCACGAAAAAACTCCCAATACTCGCCGATAGTTTTTCTAGTCAAAGAAAATTGTCCTGTAATAGTTTCTTGTTTATCCTGAGGATGAGAAGTCTAATGCTCGAGGAGCCGTAGTTGTTTTGGGATAGAGGCATATTGGTCTTCAAACTGGATTACGGTATTCAATGGTCTTCAAACATACACTACTGGACAATGAAATATCATATTTGAAAAAAGATCGTCACTTTCGCGCGTCTGTAACTCCCCTTGTCTTTACCGTATTTCTAAATATTAATATTACCATTGTGTAGCCCTTGAAAAGAGCTTTCAAAAAATGTATAACACTAATAGTTTAAATTCAAAGACAAGGGAGTTATAGACGCGCGAAAGTGACGATCGTTTTTTCAAATATGATATTTCATTGTCCAGTACTGTACCATCGCTTCGAATATTAGTTTTAGAAGGAGAACACTTAGGGTTCCTCCAAATGATTGCATCAGCTTTGCTCGAATCCTTAATCAGAGTCATCTGCTCGGTAGTCCACCTACCAGGAAGAGTGGATCCACTTAAATGGTCTATAACTCCAGGTCTGAAAACTCAATCAACTTATGATTAGTTTTATTAGACTTTGTTAACCATAAATTCATAGAAAATTAAGGAAAACATTCAAAAGTCCCGAAAATTACCCAAAGTCCAAAATCAGCTTTAAAATCAGTTTTAAAATCAGCTTTAAACCCAGCTTTAAATCAGGTTTAAATCAGGTTTAAAATTAGTTTCCAAAGCTGATTTTAAATCCTAATTAAGTTCAGAAACAATCGAGCTTAAAATTAAGATTTCATTTCATTTCATTTCCAGGTAGTTCTCTGCTCGGTTTCCCCGTTCTCCTATGCTCTGCCTCTACACGCCGAATATTGTTCTTTAGCTAATCCTCAAAATACATGTTATGTATTAATTTTATAAAAGAATCCTTTCTTGTTTGCATGTTTATGTAGTGCTTTTGAGAATCGTAAATCATTTTTCTTTTATCTGCTTTTGACCTATACAAAAATTCGAAATCACCTTGTTTTTCGGTTTGCAAATTCAGTTTTAAGATACAAAAAAAACTATCCAATGCTGAAAATTCTTATAAACATTTGTAATTATAGGAATTTTATGTTAAATCAAGTAAAGTAAAGCCCAAGTAAAGTAAAGCCCAAGTAAAGTAAAGCCCAAGTAAAGTAAAGCCCAAGTAAAGTAAAGCCCAAGTAAAGTAAAGCCCAAGTAAAGTAAAGATTAAGTAAAGATTAAGTAAAGATTAAGTAAAGATTAAGTAAAGATTAAGTAAAGATTAAGTAAAGCCCAAGTAAAGTAAAGCCCAAGTAAAGTAAAGATTAAGTAAAGATTAAGTAAAGATTAAGTAAAGATCAAGTCTTTTAATTGGCAATATATCGCCAGAATCAACCTAAATGCCTGGTCGCTTGCATTTCTCACAAAAACTACACTACTGGACAATGAAATATCATATTTGAAAAAACACTTTCGCATTTTCGCGCGTTTGTAACTCCTCTTCAACTTCAACTTCTTCAAGATCAAAATCGCCGGCATTGAAGCGTTTGAATCACTCGATCACAACAGTTTTGCCAACATTTTCTTCGCCTTCCACCTCACAAATCACTTCAGCAACAGACAGACCTTTCCAATAGTGACGGAGCAAAACACAAAGTTTACTTTTATTCATCTAAAGATGTAAAATGTTTATTTTTAACAGTAATTTATTTAACAAAATACTCGCAAGAGAACAGGCTTTCAAATGAGCCAAAAACCATAACAATCTATTTTCAAAATAATTAGATAATTGAACCTTTATGCAAGCAAACCGCGAACTTTTTTAACAACCTAGTATTTTCAGGAAAATATCCCAAGTTTAGCTACTTAAATCGATGTTAATCAGCCGGCTATGTTTGTGCGAGTCTCTCGAACAGCTCTGTGAGGTTGCGCAGATTCAATTCAATTCAATTTGCGCAGATTTCAATCGTCTTCAATCACAGATTTGTTGTCGATGTTCATTTTCGATGCTTTTCAACTTTCAGATAATGAAACTCTATAAAAATGATGAAAAGCCTTTATGAGTTTTGATTTTCCTCCAGTTTCATAAACTGAAAACCGACAAATTAACAAAGTTGATTGATTGAAACTAGAAAAGTTTAGAGTTTCTTCGTCGTACGACCCGTAGAGCGGCCATACCCGGATTAATTTTCAGATACGGACTATTAACCAGTCGACTTTCAAGCTACTGGAACAAATGTGAAAAATCTCAAGGCCACTCTTAATAAAACAGCTTCAGATCGTCTCAAAAGTGCCAAACCATTTGCTGTGTGCGATGACAAGTCCTACTCCTAAATGGCAATTCGATTGATATTATTTCTCACGAGTCGACATCGTGCAATCTACTGTCAGGCTGAGCGACCAATGAGTGCCGCGTGAATATCGTTGTGATTGGGAAATAAAGATTCACTTGTGGTTTCGTTACGCTTTTTTGCATTCTCGCATTTCGTTGTCTTGTTTTTGAAGACCGGATCTCATCCTCGCGTTTCAAACAAGAAAAAAAAACGATTCGAAACAGCACTTGGATCAAATTTCCGAAACAGAGCCTTCTTTTCGGAAATTGTGATGACTTCAGTCAATAAGCTCTTGTAATTTAAGAAAACCTACTAGTTGATCGATGTGGGATTGCATTACAATCTCGAGAATCATCTTGTAGTCTTCAGAATGCTCCACACAATCACTTCGAACACAAAACGGACCTTGGAGCACTAGAAATCAAACTGTTTGCTCAAATTTGCAAAAGAATTTACCTCTGGTCACTTCCAAATTTGATCGGTGTATGTGGTGAAGTTCAGAGTGTTCAGAGTGCCTCCTTTCAACGAAATCACTCTCACTCAGACTCCTTTCACTTTTTGAATGAAATCTCAAATAAAAGCATTTTTCTTTTCTTCATTTTCTAGCTATTAATGTTTAAATTTTGTTTACAAACGATTTGCTAATTCCAAAATGGCAAGAAATTGTTGAGAACGTGAATTTCTGTTGGATCATCGTGAATCCACGGGTACTTCAAAGGCGAAAGAAATGATGAGAAATCCAAGTAATATTCAGTGCCTAAAAGGTATTACAAGAAGCATTTTTGATCTAAAGTTGTCAATCAAAAAAACCCCACAATATCTGATTCGAAAAACAGAGATTTAGTTGCTTTGAGTGTCCTGAATTCAATGATTTCAGTGTCCTGAATTCAATGATTTGAGTGTCCTGAATTCAATGATTTCAGTGTCCTGAATTCAATGATTTGAGTGTCCTGAATTCAATGATTTGAGTGTCCTGAATTCAATGATTTCAGTGTCCTGAATCAAATGATTTCAGTGTCCTGAATCCTGAAGTAATCCTGAAAACTGATTTGAATTCTCATTGAACAACTTGTTGGTGACTATGCCAGCTATGGTGATTAGCTTATTTCAGCACCAACTCATTTCCAGCAATTTTTCTGCTCATTACTTGAGCAGATCGACACTCTTCAACGGTTCACTTTGTCTTGAGTGACGAGTCTGAAGCCTATTCTGAGGCCTATTCTGAAGTGATCGATAATATTGTTGAAGGACATCACTTTCTGTGGGCAGAGTTTGGCTAGTGAAATTGCGAATTACAGAACGTGCTACCGCATCTTGCCTTGCTTGTCCTTCCCTGCTGCGACCACGATATTCACTTCTTGAAGAGTGCAACATTTGCACCCATTCTCATTTCAAACTTGGAAATAGCATTCCAGGTAGGGAGTTGACTGATTAAATGAAAAAAAATGAGCTTTTATTGTCTTTTTTCAGGTTGCCTCACGACGTGGATCACGTGTTCAGGCGGTGGGGCGTCACGCGTACTTGAACTGTGGAAAGGGCACACAATATTGAGGAGAGCTGATAAATTGGGATGAGAACATTAAAAAATATTTGTCTTTTTATTGAAATAAAACTTAACTTTTAACATAGCATCAAGTTAAATAATGTTTCATTTGTCAGATGCTCATTGGGGTAACGAAGGAGCACCGGATAGCAAGCACCGGATAGTGAGCACCCATTGGATGGACAGAGATATGTTGCCGAGGTAAGGGAATGGAGTGGATGAACACTGACTCTTTCTGCCAAGATCATTTTCCAATCTTTATTTCTTTGTCTTTTCAGTTCCACTTTTTAAGTCTTTTCAGTTCAATCCCAACTATGTGATCTTCGACAAATCGGCAAATAAAATGCTTGGCGCTTTAAATTTCAAACCATATTGGCTAGCCGAGAAAATTCAGCTAGCCGCTAGCCGATAAGATTTTAAACCTTTTCGACTACGACTATATAAGTTGAGAGGTATAAAATGAGAGGTATAATACCATGTTTTGTCAAACGATGCTTTTCCCATCATTTCCAAGTTTGCAATCTTAATTCAAAAGTTTTACCTGGATAAGATCGTCTTGTTTCGCGCTATCTCACTTTTTCCTTTCCACTCACACATCCTTAACTTTATCTAACTTTAGCTAACACATTTAACATTATAAGATAAACACAATTTGGTAAATTCGCATGTAGAGCTAGGCATGGGATATATTTTGCAAGCATTAGATAAGATCACTCTCACTTGTCTCGTTCTGTCTCCCACCGTAACTCGTTCCACCCATCGTCACCCAGATCTAACCCCCAAAGATCACACATTTGCCATACACTATACACAAGTACGCACGATGTTTTAAGCACTTTAAAATGCTTCTGTTCAATGTCGACTTTCGTTTCTCCTGGAAGAAAAAAACTTGCTAATGAATTGAAAAGCATTGAGGCAATCGGCTGCCCCATATAAAAGGAAAAGGAGAAACATGGCTCGTTTCGCTTGTCATCTCATCCATTTCCACAGCTAAGTGAGATGAAAACGATACGGCTATTTCTCATTATTTTCTGCACTTTTTTAGTGTTTAATGTTAATGGTGAGTGGCGGATAAAATGTGGCAAGGGCAAGGCAAGGGCAAGACAAGGGCAAAAAAACGTTTCTTCTCCTAAATTGTCGAAAGCACGTAGACTTTATCTGCAATTTGTCAGACGAAACGTGTTTTTTTGTTTGTTTTAAAGTTAAAATTTTAGACGAGATTACGGTAGTTCACAAAATGTCAACTTTTTTTTTTGAGAACTACCTTTTATAAAGAAACTATTTTTAGCTCAAACAACTGTCACTGTCAATGTTTTCTCCTCATTCGGCTTCCTGCAACTTGTTCAGGATTGGTTTGTGAGTTTTTTTTTGCTTCAAAAAAGTTTTTACCGTAAATACTTTTTTAATAGTACCCCACCCCCTCGTACAGTCGCGTAGTCGCAAAAGTTTTTAGTATTTCATTTTTTTCAAAGCGCCTGTACTTTCAAAAAGTGTGTCTTTGGTATCAAAAAATAGCTGAAATTCAGGGCTATTTTTTGATACCAAAGATAATGACGGCGCGGAGTGTTGCGTAGTCTAGCTTTGAACGCGTTTTTCTCGACACTGGTTTAAGCTACAATGCGCGCTTATGTATCAAAAAATAGCTGAAATTCAGGGCTATTTTTGATACCTAAGCGCGCATTGTAGCATAGACCAGTGTCGAGAAAAACTCGTTCAAAGCTAGACTACGCAACGCTCCGCACCATCATTATGGGGCTGGGGTACTATTAAAATATTTACGGTAGATGTTTCATACAACATTGTAGTTGATGGTATTTGTTTCAGATCAGCAATCCAAGTGTCATCATCATTGCATCGGGCTCGGAATCGGAGGGATTAGGAGAGGTGGCTTGTCGGTTGGTAAATTCATTTAGTGTCTAGTTGTAGCTTTGAAAAAATTTTACGCTTTTTCTTAACCTAATCAAAAACTTTGATTACTTTTTTGATTTTATAACATCTCCTATAAACCATTTTTCTTTTTAGAAGCTCAAATGCGACAATTAAAAACATGATCTGCACAAACAAGGAGATGAAGGAAGCGATGAATGAGGGTGAGGATTTTATCTATTAGATTTCCTCACCAAGCATCGGGTTGAACCGTAATTTGTTTGCAATTTGAGGGTTGGTTGAAATTGAAATACTTTTCAAATAATATTTACGTTAAAAAGTTGTAACCAAGTGATAAAAATCAAAGTTTAGCCACTCCACTCTACGCATGTCTAGGGAAAAAGGCAAAAGAAGTCGATGAGACGATCGCGAAGAAATGTGGTACCGTCGTTCCACATGGACCATGCAAGTAAAAAATTCTGTTGAACTAAAATCACATCTCATTAAATCTAAAGCTAAAACTTTTAACTTTCATTTCAGAAAAGTGGCCGAGTACGCCGAATGCCGAGCCAAAGTCAACGGGGCAGCGTGTGGGAAATGGGGAAAGAAGATATTCCACAACATTTGCAAAGCTATTGTAGGTTTTGATGGGGAAGTGCTGGAAAAATAGCAATTCTATCTGATTAGATAAGACACGAAAGTTAATCTTGTCAAAGAAGCCTCTAATCGAGGAACATAGAGGGCTACAACGAGACACTCCATGTTCATTTCACAGCAGAAATTTAGCCAGCACAACCGGAGGGTTCATCCAACTTTGATCCATGTCGATACGAAGTCATTCAAACACTCGGTGAGACCTCGCAAGAGAATAGTGGATCACATGAGAACCCTGGACCTCCTTCCCCGGCAGCCCCACCGCCTCCACAACCACCAGCTAGCATCAAAGTGTACACCTCGTTGGGCTTCTTGGAACTCGTTCAGTTCTGGCTGGTGAGTTTTGTTTGATTTGTTTGACATGAGATTATTCTTAGATCAGTAACCCAAGCATCATCACCATTGCATCGAGCTCACAATCTGCGGGATTAGGAGAGGTGGCTTGTCGGTTTGTGAAAGGAATTTTACAAGGATAAAGTCTCGTTTAGAAGCTCCATCGCAAAAATCAAAAGTACAATCTGCTTCAACAAGAAAATGAAGAAATCGATGAATGAAGGTGAGTAGGTTTGAAGTTATGTTTGAAGAAATGGAAGGGAGAAGTGGTACAACCGTAGGTGGAAGGCCTGGGGCTGTACAGCCCTGGACGACGACAGGATCTTTTTAACTTCTTTTTTAAAATATCATATCATTTAACAACCACGACCATTTAGCCACTGAACTTTATGTTTGCATGAGCAAAATAAGAAGAAAATCGATGAAACGATTTCGAAAAAATGTGGAGCTGTGATTCCGAATGGGCCATGCACGTGAGATTTTCTAATTTAAGCGCTAGGAAAAGATTTTTGTAAAAGTATTAAGTATTAAAAGAAAAGAAAGTATTAAAATTACAGTGAATAGAAATTTGATGTTGTTTAACGTATCAAATGAAACAATTTCGTTGTAAAAGTTTATTTTCAGCAAAGTGGCCGCCTACGCTGATTGTCAAGCCAAAGTGAATGGGGCGACATGTGGGAAATGGGGAAAGAGGATATTCAAAAATATCTTCAAATCTATTGTATGTTTTTGATTGTATTGTATGGCCTTTAGCCTATAATTACTCAATTCAGCCTGCACAACCAGAAGGATCTCCCAATTTTGACTCTTGCCGGTACCAAGTGATTGAGACTGTTGGATCGACCTCGCACGAGAATAGTGGATCACATGAGAACCCTGGACCGCCAGGCCCACCGCCTCCGCAACCACCAGCTAGCATCAAAGTGTACACTTCGTTGGGCTTCTTGGAACTCGTTCAATTCTGGCTGGTGAGTTTTGTGACGATTTTTTTGACATAAGATTATTTTTAGATCAGTAATCCAAGCATCATCACCATTGCATCGAGCTCACAATCTGCGGGATTAGGATCGGTGGCTTGTCGGTTTGTGAAGGGATTTTTATAAGAATGAAGTCTTATTTAGAAGCTCCATCGCAAAAATCAAAAGTACAATCTGCTTCAACAAGGAAATGAAGGAGTCGATGAATGAAGGTGAGTAAATATTGATTGGGTTTGGGTGAATGTAATGGCTTCGAATTTTAAAGACACTTTTTGCACGCATAATGCCTTTTTTAAATACACGTCTTTTTTCCTCAAAAGGGTCCACTATTTTTCTACAAAATAACCTTCGAAAGATTCCACAAAACTTTCATTTTGTGGGATTTATGGACTCCCAAACACAGCTAGTCAAAATGGCCGAGTCCGACTCATCGTTTGAACACTATCTTCCACATAAACCTTCTTTGGTGTCTATATAAAAAGATAGAGCACACTCAATTACACAATTTGCCAAATATTCAGCAAAATCCCTCGAACGGTTTTCTGTAGATGACATTTTAGGGATTTTGTGAAAAAATGGTCTCTGTTGAGCTGAGGCGCTGTTTGAGTTCTCTTTTAAATGTCATTTTGTAGAGAATTGGTTAACCTTTCTATTGATATCTAGGAGTTTTAAAATATTCTTTGATTTTCGTCGCGATTTCATTCTCCCCAACCCAATATTATGTTTGAAGAAATGGAAGGAAGAAAGCGTAGAGTGGTGGGTGATCCCAGGTGTAAGGTCTGGGACTGTACAGCCCTGGCCCTGTGACTACAGACTCTTTGTTAATTTCTTTTAAAAATATCATATCATTTAACAACCACAAAGTATTCAGCCACTGAACTTTATGTTTGCATGAGCAAAAATAAGAAGAAAATCGATGAAAAGATTTCGAAAAAATGTGGAGCTGTTATTCCGAATGGACCATGCACGTGAGATTTTGTAATTTCAGCGCTAGGAAAAGATTTCCAAGTATTAAAATTTAGAATACGGTGAATTTGATGTTGTTGACTTATCAAATGAAACAATTTCGTTGTAAAAGTTTATTTTCAGCAAAGTGGCCGCCTACGCTGATTGTCAAGCCAAAGTGACTGGGGCAACATGTGGGAAATGGGGAAAGAGGATATTCAAAAATATCTTCAAATCTATTGTTTGTTTTTGAATGAGCCCTTTAGCTGATATTAGGTTGTAAACTAAGTCTTGACCCTTTTTTAGATTGCTAATATCTCAGCGGAGAATCAGTATATTTGAATGAAGTTTTAAACGGATTATTCTCAAAATCTTGCAAGCTTAATGCCGAAATTACAACGCTATTCGGCGATTAGCGACCAAGTTATAGCAAAAAGACTGCGCGAAGGCAAATTTTTTTACCTCCGGTGCTAAATTCAAAAGTACGAGCACTCGAGGAAACAATACAAATTTTATTCTATTACATTTAAAACTAAAATAATGTAGCTAGTTTCTGAGAAAGTTTCAAAACTCTTAGCAAAGTTTATTTTATTTTTCAAGAGGACTAAACTTTATCTAGCTGTCTCTTGAAACCGCTGAAAATTTGATATTGCTATTTAACCAAAACTACTACGTTATTCTGCCTAAGTTGTTACCAAATGAATTACACGACATTTCTAGAAACATTTAATTATAAAAAAATGATCTGAATTTCTAACTCAATATTTTTAAGTTACCCTATTTTGTGTGGAAAAAGGCTAAAAAGGGGTAGTAGCACCGTGTTTTTTGTTATAACTTGATCACTAATCGCCGAATAACGTTATAATTTTGGCATTAGGCTTATAGGTTTTTGAGAATAATCCATTGAAAATTTCATTCAACTATACTGATTCTACGTTGAGATATTAGCAATTTAAGAAAAGATCAAGACTTAGTCCATAAACCTAATAATTACTCAATTCAGCCAGCACAACCAGAAGGATCTCCCAATTTTGACGCTTGCCGGTACCAAGTGATTGAGACTGTTGGATCGACCTCGCACGAGAATAGTGGATCACATGAGAACCCTGGACCGCCAGGCCCACCGCCTCCGCAACCACCAGCTAGCATCAAAGTGTACACTTCGTTGGGCTTCTTGGAACTCGTTCAATTCTGGCTGGTGAGTTTTGTGACGATTTTTTTGACATAAGATTATTTTTAGATCAGTAATCCAAGCATCATCACCATTGCATCGAGCTCACAATCTGCGGGATTAGGATCGGTGGCTTGTCGGTTTGTGAAGGGATTTTTATAAGAATGAAGTCTTATTTAGAAGCTCCATCGCAAAAATCAAAAGTACAATCTGCTTCAACAAGGAAATGAAGGAGTCGATGAATGAAGGTGAGTAGGTATTTATTGGGTTTGAAGAAATGGAAGGGAGGAGGGGTACGGCGGTAGGTGATCCCAGGTGGGAGACCTGGGGCTGTACAGTAGACATGAGCGCTGCAAACTATAAACTATATACAAACCTTTGTAGAAACACGTAGAATAGAGATTTTTAAAACCTTTTTACCAAAAAATCAAACCAACTTCAGACTTGCGAATGACACCAAAATCAAGAAAATCCATCATTTCTACTCCGAGAACGAGCTATTTATACCCATTTGTAGTCGCGTTCCATGGGACGAGACTAAAAACCTGAAAGACTAAAAAAAAACGTTAAATCTCAGCACAGAGAATATGATTTGTCCTGATTTTGGTGTCATTCGAAAGCCTAAAGTTCGCTCGACGTTTTGGTAAAAAAATTTTGTAAAATCTCTATTTTACGTCTTTCTACAAGTGTTTGTAGCGTCCATGCCTACTGTACAGCCCTGTGACGCCAGACTCTTTGTTAATGTCTTTTAAAAATATCATATCATTTAACAATCACAAAGTTTTCAGCCACTGAACTTTATGTTTGCATGAGCAAAAATAAGAAGAAAATCGATGAAAAGATTTCGAAAAAATGTGGAGCTGTTATTCCGAATGGACCATGCACGTGAGATTTTCTAATTTAAGCGCTAGGAAAAGATTTCTAAACGTATTAAGTATTAAAAGAAAAGAAAGTATTAAAATTACAGTGAATAGAATTTCGATGTTGTTGACTTATCAAATGAAACAATTTCGTTGTAAAAGTTTATTTTCAGCAAAGTGGCCGCCTACGCGGATTGTCAAGCCAAAGTGAATGGGGCAACATGTGGGAAATGGGGAAAGAGGATATTCAAAAATATCTTCAAATCTATTGTATGTTTTTGAATGAGCCCTTTAGCTTATACAATGCGTTTCAGATTCTTAAACGCACCCTCTAAAATAGCCAATTTTGCACTTTGAACACCGCTACGACTATTAATCTTTTTCTATTAGAAAGAGCATATCTTAAAACCTAAAAAACACGAAAAATTAGCATACTTTTAAAAGTAAAAATTTTCAAAATAGAAACTTTTTGGTAAATCAATCGTTTCAAATTCTTAAACGCACTATGAAAATGTTTTTATTTATCGACGAAAATTAGCAATCAAAGGTAAAAAAATCAAAACTAATAATCTGTACACGCACGAGAACGATTAATTACTTGAAAAAGTGGTCTGGCATTGAATTGGTGAGGTTTTGAAGAGCAGAGACGTGAAGATCGCTCCAGGCCGAAAAAATGCTGCTTTTAAGTGTAAAAACATCTTGAAACTGAAGATGATTCTTGTAGACAGCTCGGACAAGTATTCCCCATAAATTTTTTTATCGGATTGAGGTCAGGAGACTGAGCGGGTCAGTCCAAAGTTGCAATGTTGTTGTTTTTCAGCCAGTCTCGGGTATCTCCGGCTCGATGAACTGACGCGTTGTCGTGTTGAAACACATAGGAAATGCTTGGATGTAGGTGCAAAAACGGCAGCAAGCAATCGTCCAGGACGTCTATATAGTCAAAACGATTCATACGATTCGAAACCATCTTCAGAGCGACCGTTCCATCAGCACAAAGTGCGGCCCAAACCATCGCAGAACCACCGCCAAAGTTTCGAGTCCCAAACACCATCGGATCACGTCGAAGGTCCCTCCAATGGTAACCAACGCCATGGGGGCCATCCAAATTCCATTTCTTCTCATCGGAAAAGATCACCTGGAACTTGTGGAGTATCCGGGGGTCTTTCAATATCCGGGGTGGTAATATTTTAAGATCCGGTGGGGTAAAATTTTATATACGTTATACACGACCCCTTTTAAAGATATTCAGCTGCTTAAGTGATTTGGTGGCAAATTCCCTTCAAATGTAAAGATATTCAATTTATTCGAGGTGATACTCGATCAAAAAACGTAACTTCTACAAAAATTTTTTATGTCATTATTAGAAATGTTGATAATATCCTAGTTGGCGGGTCACTTTTTTTCTTCAAAACCATTTTTTGAGGTAGTTTTATTTGTTGATGTGGATCCGGCAGATGACCAACCCACATGTGGTTTTGAAGAAAAAAGTAGTCCCCCAACTAGGATACTATCAAAAGTTTTTTTTCAGAATGCGATATTCTGAGGTGAGCGCGCTTTCCGAGCGTGATGCGATTGATATTTTTGTTCAAGCAGGAATCCTTGCAGCACCGGCATGTGGATGTGGTCATAAAATGAAGATTCGCAGTAAGGAGTAGAATGTCTATCGTTGGGAGTGTGACAAGTGTATTCGTGAACGAGCCAAAAGAAATAGAGCAACAAAGGGCATGAGAGTAAACAATTTTTTTTTCTCTTTCACACCGCCCATGCCATGAACTGGTCAAATTTTTGTCGATTTGGAGCTCTGGACATCACTCGATCGATTTTCTCAAAGACGAATTGGGATGGGCCAATAACACAACGGTTGATTGGAATAAGTATATGCGCCAAGTATGCGCTTGGATTGTATCAAGAAAGCAGCAAGGACAAATTGGGGGCTCTGAACTCACGGTTGAAATTGATGAGACGCTAATTGCATCCTCCCACCGGATCATAAAATTTTACCACCCCGGATATTGAAAGCCCCCCCCGGATACTCCACAAGTACCGATCACCTAAAAAAAGAAAAATTAATAGAACATAAGTTGCTTTCTAACCTTAGACCAATCCTGATTCATATGGATCCTGGAGAACTTCAATCGAGCTTTCTTGTACAAAAGCGTCACAGCCGGTTGCTTGTTCAACAAGTGTCGATCGATATGTGGATTTTCCGTGACGGCTCACCAAATTGTCGACTTCGAAGCGTCGATTTTCAGTTCCGTTTTTACTTCATTGATGGTTTTTCCATGGTTTTTCCATGGATGTTGTTCACAATATGGCGTCTAGCTCGCGGTGTAAGCTTTGGTTTTGGATCTGGCTTCTTCTTTGGTGCAGAAACGAACTTCGACTTTATATGATTTCGCACGGCAAAGTCGGATCGGCCCAAATTTTTTGCGGTTTTCCTTATTGAGTCGCCAATCCTAAAACGGGCATTAAACTGGCCTTTCTCATAATCCGTGAGCAGCTTTCCGTGTGCCATTTACCTGGAAATTAACAAAAATTATAAATTTCGTAATAAAATATGCACAATAAAACGAAAAATTTCAAATAACAACAGCAAAGGCGGGTGCGTTTAAGGATTTGAAACGGTTGATTTACCAAAAAGTTTCTACTTTGAAAATTTTTACTTTTAAAAGTATGCTAAATTTTCCTGTTTTTTAGGTTTTAAGACATGCTCTTTCTAATAGAAAAAAGATTAATATTTGTATCGGTGTTCAAAATGCAAAATTCGCTATTTTAGAGGGTGCGTTTAAGAATTTGAAACGCACTATAATTACTCAATTCAGCCAGCACAACCCAAAGGATCTCCCAATTTTGACGCTTGCCGGTACCAAGTGATTGAGACTGTTGGATCGACCTCGCACGAGAATAGTGGATCACATGAGAACCCTGGACCACCAGGCCCACCGCCTCCGCAACCACCAGCTAGCATCAAAGTGTACACTTCGTTGGGCTTCTTGGAACTCGTTCAATTTTGGCTGGTGAGTTTTGTGACAATTTGTTTGACATAAGATTATTTTTAGAGCAGTAATCCAAGCATCATCACCATTGCATCGAGCTCACAATCCGCGGGATTAGGATCGGTGGCTTGTCGGTTTGTGAAGGGATTTTTATAAGAATGAAGTCTTGTTTAGAAGCTCCATCGCAAAAATCAAAAGTACAATCTGCTTCAACAAGGAAATGAAGGAGTCGATGAATGAAGGTGAGTAAGTATTGATTGGGTTTGGGTGAATGTAATGGCGTCGAATTTTAAAGACACTTTTTGCAAGTATAATGCCTTCTTTAAATACACGCCTTGTTTCATCAAAGGGGTCCACTATTTTACAAAATGACTACAAAATGACCTCCGAAAGATTCCACAAAACTTTCATTTTGTGGGATTTATGGACTCCCAAACACAGCTAGTCAAAATGGCCGAGTCCGACTCATCGTTTGAACACTATCTTCCACATAAACCTTCTTTGGTGTCTATATAAAAAGATAGAGCACACTCAATTACACAATTTGCCAAATATTCAGCAAAATCCCTCGAACCGTTTTCTGTAGATGACATTTTAGGGATTTTGTGAAAAAATGGTCTCTGTTGAGCTGAGGCGCTGTTTGAGTTCTCTTTTAAATGTCATTTTGTAGAGAATTGGTTAACCTTTCTATTGATATCTAGGAGTTTTAAAATATTCTTTGATTTTCGTCGCGATTTCATTCTCCCCAACCCAATATTATGTTTGAAGAAATGGAAGGAAGAAAGCGTACAGTGGTGGGTGATCCCAGGTGTAAGGTCTGGGACTGTACAGCCCTGGCCCTGTGACTACAGACTCTTTGTTAATTTCTTTTTAAAATATCATATCATTTAACAACCACAAAGTATTCAGCCACTGAACTTTATGTTTGCATGAGCAAAAATAAGAAGAAAATCGATGAAAAGATTTCGAAAAAATGTGGAGCTGTTATTCCGAATGGACCATGCACGTGAGATTTTGTAATTTCAGCGCTAGGAAAAGATTTCCAAGTATTAAAATTTAGAATACGGTGAATTTGATGTTGTTGACTTATCAAATGAAACAATTTCGTTGTAAAAGTTTATTTTCAGCAAAGTGGCCGCCTACGCTGATTGTCAAGCCAAAGTGACTGGGGCAACATGTGGGAAATGGGGAAAGAGGATATTCAAAAATATCTTCAAATCTATTGTATGTTTTTGAATGAGCCCTTTAGCTTATAATTACTCAATTCTCAGCCAGCACAACCAGAGAGTTCTCCCAATTTTGACGCTTGTCGATATGAAGTTATTAAAACTGTTGGCAGCTCACACGAGTCACACAGTGGTTCTCATGAGGGACCACCCGGACCCCCATCCGGTCCTCCACCAACTGTGAATGTTTACTCGTCGTTTGGCTTCATCGCACTTGTTCAATCTTGGATTGTAAGTGATTCACAAATTATATTCCTCTCATTGATTGATTATTTGTTTCTATCGGCCTATTTTTAGATCAGCAATCCAAGTGTCATCGTGATAGCATCAGGCTCGGGATCGAAGGGATTAGGAGAAGTGGCTTGCCGGTTAGTTAGCCGATGTTTTAGTTTATGTCAATTTTTCCTTTCAGAAGCTCAAACACGACAATCAAAAAGCTGATCTGCAAGAATAAGAAGATTAAGAAAGAGATGAATGAGGGTGAGGATTTTATCTATTATATTTCCTCACCAAGCATCTGGTTGAACCGTAGTTTGTTTGCAACTTTTGGATTTTGTCAGTAACAAAGAGAAACTCTAAAAATTATTAATCATAACTTTTAGCAACTGAACTCTTCGCTTGTTACAGCAAGTATTCAAAAGGAATCGATGCAACGGTGGTAAAGACGTGTGGAGCCGTTGTCCCAGATGGGCCTTGCAAGTGGGTATTCGTTCACTTTACCATTACATTAAAAATTACCAGCAGTACACTGTATTGATACTTTATGCTGTTCGCTTTTCAGAAAGGTCGGAACCTATGCTGAGTGCCAGGCTCAAGTCTATGGAAATGCCTGTGACATGTGGGGAAAAAGTATCTTCCACGGAATCTACAAGTCTATTGTAAGCGGAAGGATAAAGAGCCACTAATTTGTTAAAAATTTAGCCAGCACAACCAGAGAGTTCTCCCAATTTTGACGCTTGTCGATATGAAGTTATTAAAACTGTTGGCAGCTCACACGAATCACACAGTGGTTCTCATGAGGGACCACCCGGACCCCCATCCGGTCCTCCACCAACTGTGAATGTTTACTCGTCGTTTGGCTTCATTGCACTTGTTCAATCTTGGATTGTAAGTGATTCACAAATTAGATTCTTCTCATTAATTGATTATTTATTTCTATCCGTCTATTTTTAGATCAGCAATCCAAGTGTCATCATGATAGCATCAGGCTCGGAATCGAAGGGATTAGGAGAGGTGGCTTGCCGGTTAGTTAGCCGATGTTTTAGTTTATGTCAATTTTTCCTTTCAGAAGCTCAAACACCACGATTAAGAAAATGATTTGCAAGAACAAGAAGATGAAGAAAGAAATGAATGAAGGTGAGTGAGTGAACGTTGACACCGTTGGGTGGTCACGGGTTGGGATTTTTTGACCACAGAAAACAGAAAAAATTCCAGCCACTGCTCTCTTCACTTGCTACAGCGCATACTCAAATGGAATCGATGCAGCGGTTCTCAATTCATGTGGAGCTATGGTTCCCAATGGACCTTGCACGTGAGTGTTGACTCAAAAAAACAATATTGTTAAAAAGTAGGCTGGCTTGGAGACACTCATATAGTTAAAAACCTTTTTAAAGTAAAAAAATAGCCCTTCTGGGATCTATTCACACTCTAACAAGGGAAATACCAACCGTGTGTGATGGTAAAAATGACATGAGGAATATACTATTCGACGCAGAATTTTACGCTAAATTCGAAGCTGCTTTCCGTTTCTACTATGAAGCACTCTGTCAAATGTTGTAAGCGTGTAAATTTTTGTTAGGAAATTCAAAAATCAAGTCGCGAGTTCATAAGCAGACAGGCACTGAAAAGAAAAAAAATAAAACATCGAGATTACAACCCCGTTTCCTGTCGAAACCACCAGTGCGGCGGTGGCCGAGTGGAAGTGAGCTTGAATACAAGGCAGGGGCTCTTAGATTTGAGTCTGTAGTTGAACTTTCTCTTTTACTCTTATTAGTTTTGAATAGTTTAGGTGTTCTTTCGTGAAATGCTAACTCGTTTGACATAACTTTTGACAGAGTGCAGAAGCGGAAAGCAGATTCGGAATCAGCGTAAAATTTTGCGTCGAATAGTATATAGCTGATATCATTTCGTCACCACACCCGGTTGACATTCCCTTGTAAGTGTACTGCACACTAAAACCTTTTGCTTCCTTTTTAGATCCGTAGCCACTTATGCTGAGTGTCAAGCTGAGGTGTATGGATCATCGTGTGCCATGTGGGGAAAGAACGTATTCCATGGAATCTTCAAGGCTATTGTAAGTTGAAAATTTGAAGAACCACTGACTTGTTAATTTAGCCAGCACAACCAGAGAGTTCTCCCAATTTCGATCCATGTCGATATGAAGTGGTTAAAAGGGTTGGCAGCTCTCACGAGTCACACAGCAGTGGCTCTCATGAGGGACCTCCACCACCACCACCCGGTCCTCCACCAACTGTCAATGTTTTCACGTCGTTCGGTTTCATTGAGCTTGTTCAGTCTTGGTTTGTAAGTTTTTTTGAAGAAATTTTGTTTATTTAAAACTGATAAAAGGAAAATGTTTAGTCAAAACTGTAAAGACTGTGTTCGATTTCAGATCAGCAATCCAAGCGTCATCGTCATTGCCTCAGGCTCGGAATCGGAGGGATTAGGGGAGGTGGCTTGTCGGTTGGTTATTGAGAAAATTTCTATTTGAAAATGTATGCCTAAACAGCTAGTACTATTCTTTCTAGAAGCACAAACACGACAATCCGAAACTTGATCTGTTACAACAAGAAGTTGAAGAAAGCGATGAATAAGGGTCAGTTCAAGTTCAAAGGCATTTTAAGGTCCAATTTACCAATTAAAGATTTATAAAAAACCAAAAAACCATTTATAAAAAACCAAAAAAATGAAATTTGAGAAAGATTTTAGCTACCCCACTTTATGCCTGTATCGCAGCAAATCCAAAAGTGGTCACGGTGACCGATCAGCACTGTGGTTTTGTCGCTCCACATGGCCCATGCACGTAAGTTTGACAAGAGATTGACTAGAAAATCAGCTCTTTTTTTAGTAGTATGTTGAATGTTGAAACTGATTTTGAGCAAGGTTTTTAAAAGTCCTTTCCTGATGGTAGTGGAAATCGTAGTGACAGCGCTGTTGCCTCAAAACAAAAAATCAAGGGTACGCGTCTAATCCCTATCCCCAACCCTGTCATTGTTCTCTGCAATTCGACTATGAGGGGATTCATCTTAAACAACAAGACTTCAAAGTCACCTTCAAATTACTCCAAACTCAATCTTTCATTTCAGAAAAGTAGCCGAGTATGCTAATTGCCAGGCGATGGTGCACGGAGCCACGTGTAATATGTGGGGAAAGCACATCTACCATGACATCTACAAAGCTATTGTAAGTTTTCTAGAAACACTTTTTGAGACATATTTTCGATTTAGTTAAGCTATACAAGAGTTACTTTAATAATGACTACCCGTTTGAAAATAAGCAGTAGATTCTAGCAAAATTCTACAAAGTTTTATCGGGAAATGGTTAACTCTAGGCCGAGCTACGCACTAGAGAAAAAGTGACCGTAATTCTTGAGCATCCTGTATAATAGCAACCATATACTTTCAGCCTAAACAACCACCCACATCTCCAAAGCATGATCCATGTCGTTGGGAAGTGATTCAACGAGTCGGCGATGATTCATATGAGAAACATTCATCACATGAGGGATCAAAAGAGAAAGACTCAAAACCTAAGCCGAAGAGATCTCAACACTGGCCATTTTTCTAATCTTCGTATCTTACAAACGAAAAATAGGGAGTTTATTGTAATGTAAGCATTTCACCAATACGAGTTAGTTTCATGAAAGTGACGTCTTTGTCGGTAAAATTACGTTTTTTCACTAATTTTCAATAGTCAACTTTGTTTTAACTAACTCATATCGGTAAAATGACATGCGAACGAACGATATGACATTCAAAAACTCTGTTCACCTCATCTATTAGATTTGCCCTTAAGTCTTTAGACACCTTTTTTTTTATAAATGACGTTTATAAATGACAAATTCACCAATTGACACCTACAATTTGCTTCATTAGAAAGGTCTACTATTTTTCTTCAAATTAAATATTCGAATCTTGTGAAAAAGTTTTTGTCTATGGCTTTCTATTTAGAGCTAATTATGGGTTAATTGGTGAATCTGTCATTTGATAAACGATAGTAGAAAAAAAAAGTGTCTAAAGACCTATCAGCCAACCTAATAATTTATACGCAACAACTTTTACAACTAGCTGAGTTTGCATTCAATTTTTAGTGATATATTTATTTATTCTAAACAATATTAAGGCAATCTGATTTTATTTATTTGCTTGTTTTCATGTTTTTCTTTCAACCAGTGCAGTGGCTTCTTGAATGACCTTTCACTCGGTACAAATATGATTACACTAACTGCAATTGTGTATAAGTTATTATTTATTGTAGTTAATAAATTTGTTTATTCTGTAAAAAAAAATGCTAAATTGAATTGTATGTCTGTCAAGCCGACAAGTACAATGTATGTCAATTGTGAGCTTGAATGACTTATCGTAAATACTGTAATAATATCCCACTCCCCCGTTAGGTATTTATTTGCGTAGTCGCAAAGGTTTTTTAGTATTTCAGTATTTCATTTTTTCAAAGCGCCCGTACTTTCAAAAAATGCGTCTTTCGTATCAAAAAATAGCTGAAATTCAGGGCTATTTTTTGATACCAAAGACACACTTTTTGAAAGTACGGGCGCTTTGAAAAAAAATGAAACACTGAAATACTGAAATACTAAAAAACTTTTGCGACTACGCGACTGTACGAGGGGGTGGGGTACTATTACAGTATTTACGGTAATAAAGAACAATTTTATTACAGAAAAAGATTATACTAATCATTTGATTATTTGATTATTGTAGCCGGCTAATTGTTCGATCTCTTGCATCACTCGGAGATAAATCTCTGTTTGATATGGTAGAGTGACAACCTGAAAAAGTTGGATGCGTTTTGACTGTAATAAATGTATTACACTCTAAAAGTATAAATAAACTGAAAATATTCTACCTCGTACAAATGGTTTTATTTACCTCTTTTTTATAGTCATCTGTATCTTCTTGTACTTGAATCTTCTTGTACTTCTTCTTGTCTGTACTTCTTGTACTCGTTAACGTCTTCAGTAATTTGAGGGTGTCGAATTCAAATTTTGACATAACAAAGCGTGTGGAACCAATTTGAAAGACAAAACGGCTAGGTCAAATTACAGAAAATTGTTGATTTTTCTCTTTGTATAACTCCGTCCGTTTGTTTCCACAAGCTCTGATATGTCAAAATTTCGATTCTACGCCCTAAAATTACCTAGAAAAACAACTTTTGGAATAGAAATTGGTTAATATTAGCTTTTTAGAGCTTTTTTAAAACGCGAAAAAAAGGTGCGCTAATGGGCTAAGTGCGGAAAAAAAGGTGCGCAAATGTCCGGGTGCGCAAAAAAAAGGTCGCATTTGTCCCACTCCCAAATTTCCAAAAAGATACACTTAGCAGTTTCGCTTAAAATGCAAGTTTTGTGAAAATTCGTAAATTTGGCATTTCTTGAAAACCAGTTTTTGAATCGTTCTGAAAATTTGGATATAAGCTTCATTTTTGATTCTCTACAACTTTTCCATGGACACCAAAATGGGTTTCTTTTGAAGAAAGTCCTCAAACTGTCACATATGACAATAGCCCGCAGTTTTCAATTCACCAACCCAATATTTTCGAGAAAGGCGATGCTTTTAGCGATGATTCGTTTACACCAGAAACGTTATTTTCAGTTATTTTACTAAAAAGTGTAAGCAAAACTTTTAATGAATCAAAAACTATTTAAATTTCAATAGTAAGCAAGGAAAACTCATTAAAAATACCTGTACAAACAAAGAATTGATGAGTTTTCTCTGTAATCTCTTCGTATTCTCACTCATATTTATGATTGGATGATGGAGTAGATAAAATGAATGATAAAAGAAGAAAGTTCCCTGAAAATTTTGATGACATGATCAATGATAAATGTGACAAACAAAAGCAAACAAACAAAAACAAAATGAGTGTGCTTTATGAAACGATTTCCTACGTATTAGATTAGGAAAGAAAGTTCCCGAAAAAAGTTTGACTCGAATTTCTTAAAAACGAATCCACCAATTCAAGAATATTTTGTGCAGAGTTTTCTATCTAATAAATCTTTTCTTCGGCTTTTCGACCAGTTTTTGTACTCTAAAATGTTTTATTCAAAATCAAAGACTGTTGGACAAACTGTTGGGCAAACTGTTGGGCAAACTGTTGGACAAACTGTTGGACAAACTGTTGGGCAAACTCTGTGTTGAAGATCGAAAAACGAAACCACCCACATCGCTTGAATAAATCGTTTGATTCTTCTAAAAAATTCTACGCAAACAACGTTCGATTTGAAATGATTTGTCCTCTCACTTTTGAATCAAGACCATGTGCTAGAGAATCTTTTAGAAGAAAACCAAGTTCGCCCCAAGTTTGAGCAAACGAGCTACAAATTATCGGGGTATATATATTCCAAGGTGTGCTATAATTGTCGGCGCACCCTGTAATATTGAGTTTTGAAAAATGGGAGAACAAAGTTCTCAAAGAACAAAGAACAAAGTTTTTTTTCCTAAAATTTGATCTTTTTGATTCTTCAAATTTTCTATAAAAACATCTCTGTGAAAGTGAAAAAAAAATGATCAATTTTGGGAAAAGAGTAAAAAAAGGGAGATTCGGAGAATGAAAGAGAGAGAGAAAAATGTCAGGAAAATCGAAAAGAAACGAAAAAGAACACTTGCATCATTATTTCACAGCATATAACCACCGTCGAGTAGTTGATTTCTTTGAAAACATTTTCCTATTATTCAATCATGAACAATTTTCCACTATCAACCCTTCCGAATGACCTAAAAAGGTCGATAATTCTATCAACAGCTAACCCATTTATGCTACTGAAAGTGAATCGAAATCTGCGAAATGAAATACTTTTGAATGGACCTTTCTCGAAGCGAATCGAGTGGGTAAATGTATTTTTAAATTCAATGGATTGGATCGGGAAACGATTTCTGCCGAATGGAGAACCGTTGAGCAAATCGAGGAACAAATGGCGTTTGTGTGTCTCGATTTCTGGCCACTCTGTCACCCATATTGGGCTAGGCGACGAACAAATCGGAATCGACAAAGTTGGGTTCCCGAAACGCTTCGAGAAACAACTATTTCGTTTATTTTCGAAAATCAATTCCCCTAGAATGTTCCGATATCGAGTGAAAGCCGGGAAGCACTCTTTCGAATCGAAATGGACCACACGGGAAGCCGAGTTGGAAGAGATATTTCGGAAACTTGTGAACGGTTTTGAAAGTGTTAAAGCTTTTGCCGAGTTGAGCCTTCATTCGACAATTTGCGAAGGCCAAAATCTATTCGAGATTCTAGCCGAGAAACGGATCGTTTTCAACAAATTAGACCTCGATTTTCAGTTTGAATATCTGAAAACAAATCCGATAAAGACTTGCCCAGAAGAGTGTCGTTATATCTCATGGAAAATGTCGAAAGATTCAATAAAATCGATCATTTCAGATCAATTACAAAACCCGATGATTCCAGTTTTTTTCTATTGTCAAGCTGAAGACGAGACTTATGCGGAGATCGAAGAGATCATTTGTGTGACTTTTGAAATGACAAGTTGTCTGGATGAAGAACTTCGACGAAAAATCTCGAAAAAATTATCGATTGATTATGGAAAACAAAATTTCGACGATTGGTCGTTGGAAAGACGCGTGAATCGAAGAGAAGAATGGACAGGCGAGTGCACGTGGATGGGATTCTTTATGAGAAAGATCCCAACCGACAAGTGTCTCATCTTAAAACTCGAAGTTTATACTCAATTTTACAAAGGAGAAAACCTTGGAAAGTATTTGTTGTGTTGTGCTATTGATATTTTGCCGTCAGAAGAAAGCACACACTCATCGTGAACATTCGAGCTCTGGTGCACTGATTTTATTGAGTATTTTGAGTGGATCAAGGGAGGAAACTTTATAAATTCGTCCCGAATTGCAAATTTTATTTCAACATTTTTGCTTTATCACTGTTTGTATCGAAAATGTGACCCTCTCTTTGAAATGTTCATTTTTTTTATTTGTTAAGAGATTTTCCCAGTATTTAATTGTTTGAATCAATAAAATATCACTGTTTTTTTCATGAACGAGAGAAACGAGAAATACAAAAAGAAATGATGCAATACATGCAAAAATTCATGACCGACTTCTATACAAACATTAATGTTTTATGGAAAGTGATACTTCTTGATCACTAATCGATTCAAAGATGTTTTCAGAAAATCGATTTTCGCCTGAAGTTTTTTTTGCCATTACTATCACTCTTCAGATTGACAGGATTGACTCATTTCTCTCCGATCTCACTCCAATTGTATTCTCCGAGAGAGCTTTCAGTAGCTTCACCCCATCTTAAAGACCTTCTATTGGGTTGGGGAGAATGAGTCGGCGCCGAAAATGAAAAAAATGTCTAAAACTTCTATTCGACTTCGTCAAATAATATGCGTTTGATATGAGTAGAATGGTTAACTAATTCTCTACAAAATGACATTTAAAAGAAAATTCAAACAGCGCCTCCGCTCAAGAAAAAGCTATTTTTTCACAAAAACTACAAACTGTGATCTAGAAAAAACCATTGGTGGGATCTTCCTGCAAATTTGGCAACTTAAGTAATTGAATGTGCTCTATCTTTTTTATATAAACACCAAAGAAGGTTTATGTGAAAGAAACTGTTCAAATGATGAGTCGGACTCTTTGCCATTTTAACCAGCTGCGTTTGGAAGTTCATAAACTCCACGAAAGAAAAGCTTTGTGGAATCTCTCAAAAGTGATTTTGTAGAGAAATAGTGGATCCTTTTGATGAAACCAAACGTATGTTTAAAGAAGGCTTTATGTGTGCAAAAAGTCCCTTTAAAGTTCGGCGCCGACTCATTCTCCCCAACCCAATACCCTCGAGCGACTAGATTTCCCAGAGACATTAAAGAGGAGTGGTGGCCGAGTGTCTATCTAGTTAAAATAGAATTTTTAAAGTATCAGAAAATTTTTCAGAAGACTTTTTCACACCCAACACCAAGCAACAGTCGCTGTGCTGGAGTTCACAAGCAGTTCAGCGGGGCAGACAAGTGGTCAACACTAATAAAAATGCTTGATGGCTTTAAAATTAATAATTAATAAATAACAAAAAAAAAAGTATTTCTCATTCTTATTATTGTTATTTTTTTGAAAATAACAACACCTTTGACAAAAAGATTTCCTAATCAATCTATCAAGTGAAATGGATAGGGAAAAGAACGTTTTTCTGGCTCTTGTCTCATTCTCTAGAAGAAAAAATGAACAAAAAAAAGTAAAATGATAGTGAAAAACAGCCAAGAACTATATAAGAGTTCGTTTTTGGTTTTGAGAAAAAAAAAACAATCCCTTCATATCACGTTTTATTTTCTTTCCGTTCCCAGTCGACAATGTTCCCCACGTTGCCAATTTTTCTTTCTATTCTCGTTCTTTTTAATCTTGGTAAGTAAAGAAAGTTTCTTAAGCTTTTCATTTGTATGCGTAACAACAGATGCAGTTTTTAGGTGAATCTGCATTCGTGGTTTCGGTCGACCCGAACGCCATCGTACATACGGCTGAATGCGAGGCGAATTGCCCGAAAACCGCCTACCACTGCAACTATTGCTGCAACGCGTGCTGTCGACAACAGAAACATCATCCACTTGGTGGCTCGTGTATTGCATCTCAGTGCTACTGTGTTCGAAGCAGTGATCAGAGTTGAATTTCTAAAATTTAGGTTTTTGATTTTTCTTTGCTTTGCCTTGTATTTTGATTTTTGCTTTGATACTCAATGTTTAATATAATTTATCATACCCGCCACCTTGGCATGAAATCAATGACAAACACTATCAATGACACTGGTTAGTTCAGTGACCACAACCCTTTTAAAACCAATGAACAAATTCATTTTTTTTTCATTAAATCACCGATCGCTTCCCTATCGCTGTTTGAAGCAAATATAATTATATTATTATACCATTCTACTCATATCAAACGCATATTATTTGACGAAGTCGAATAGAAGTTTTAGACATTTTTTTCATTTTCGGCGCCGACTCATTCTCCCCAACCCAATAGAAGGTCTTTAAGATGGGGTGAAGCTACTGAAAGCTCTCTCGGAGAATACAATTGGAGTGAGATCGGAGAGAAATGAGAATCAATCCTGTCAATCTGAAGAGTGATAGTAATGGCAAAAAAAACTTCAGGTGAAAATCGATTTTCTGAAAACATCTTTGAATCGATTAGTGATCAAGAAGTATCACTTTCCATAAAACATTAATGTTTGTATAGAAGTCGGTCATGAATTTTTGCATGTATTGCATCATTTCTTTTTGTATTTCTCGTTTCTCTCGTTCATGAAAAAAACAGTGATATTTTATTGATTCAAACAATTAAATACTGGGAAAATCTCTTAACAAATAAAAAAAATGAACATTTCAAAGAGAGGGTCACATTTTCGATACAAACAGTGATAAAGCAAAAATGTTGAAATAAAATTTGCAATTCGGGACGAATTTCTAAAGTTTCCTCCCTTGATCCACTCAAAATACTCAATAAAATCAGTGCACCAGAGCTCGAATGTTCACGATGAGTGTGTGCTTTCTTCTGACGACAAAACATCAATAGCACAACACAACAAATACTTTCCAAGGGTTTCTCCTTTGTAAAATTCGGTATAAACTTCGAGTTTTAAGATGAGACACTTGTCGGTTGAGAGCTTTCTCATAAAGTAACCCATCCACGTGCAATGGCCTGTCCATTCTTCTCTTCGATTCACACGTCTTTCCAACGACCAATCGTCGAAATTTTGTTTTCCATAATCAATCGTTAATCTTTCCGAGATTTCTCGTCGAAGTTTTTCATCCAGACAACTTTTCATTTCAAAAGTGACACAAATGATTTCTTCGATCTCCGCATAAGTCTCGTCTTCAGGTTTACAATAGAAAAAAACCGGAATCATCGGGTTTTGTAATTGATCTGAAATGATCGATTTTATTGAATCTGTCGACATTTTCCATGAGATATAACAACACTCCTCTGGGCGAGTCTTTATCGGATTTGTTTTCAGATATTCAAACTGAAAATCGAGGTCTAATTTGTTGAAAACGATCCGTTTCTCGGCTAGAATCTCGAATAGATTTTGGCCTTCGCAAATTGTCGAATGAAGGCTTAATTCGGCAAAAGCTTTAACACTTTTAAAACCGTTTACAAGTTTCCGAAATATCTCTTTCAACTCGGCTTCCCGTGTGGTCCATTTCGATTCGAAAGAGTCTCTCACTCGACATCGGAACTTTCTAGGGGAATTGATTTTCGAAAATAAACGAAATAGTTGTTTCTCGAAACGTTTCGGGAACGCAACTTTGTCGATTCCGATTTGTTCGTCGCCTAGCCCAATATGGGTGACAGAGTGGCCAGAAATCGAGACACACAAACGCCATTTGTTCCTCGATTTGCTCAACGGTTTTCCATTCGGCAGAAATCGTTTCCCGATCCAATCCATTGAATTTAAAAACACATTTACCCACTCGATTCGCTTCGAGAAAGGTCCATTCAAAAGTATTTCATTTCGCAGATTTCGATTCACTTTCAGTAGCAGAAATGAGTTAGTTGTTGATAGAATTATCGACCTTTTTAGGTCATTCGGAAGGGTTGATAGTGGAAAATTGTTCATGATTGAATAATAGGAAAATGTTTTCAAAAAAATCAACTACTCAACGGTGGTTATATGCTGTGAAATGGTGATGCAAGTGTTCTTTTTCGTTTCTTTTCTCTTCCTCACATTTATCTCTCTCTTTCATTCTCCGAATCTCCCTTTTTTTTACTCTTTTCGTAAAAATGATCATTTTTCACTTTCACAGAGATGTTTTTATTGAAAATTTTAAGAACCAAAAAGATCAAATTTAAGGAAAAAAACTTTGTTCTTTGTTTGTTTACTTTGAGAACTTTGTTCTCCCATTTTTCAAAACCCAATATTACAGTGTGCGCCGACAATTATAGCACACCCTGGAATATATATACCTGGAAAATTTGTAAATCGTTTGCTCAAACTTGGGGCGAACTTGGTTTTCTTCTAAAAAATTGATGGCTTGATTCAAAAGTGAGAGTACAAATCGTTTCAATTCGAACGTTGTTTGCGTAGAATTTTTTAGAAGAATCAAACGGTTTATTCAAGCGATGTGGTTTCGTTTTTCAATCTTCAACACAGATTGTGTTCAACGTTGGGCAAACTGCTGGGGAAACTGCTGGGGAAACTGCTGGGGAAACTGCTGGGGAAACTGCTGGGGAAACTGTCGGACAAACTGTCGGGCAAACTGTGAACTTTTGAGATTTTATTTCAGAATTCATTTCAAATCCTTAAAACGCTTAAATATCAGTTCATAGATGAAACCTCTTCCGGTGAAGCGGCTCGTCCAATTGGATTTGTTGCATCGAGTTGGTTGTATCGCTGGAAAAAATGAGATTTCAGTTGTTACTGACACTAAACGAAACTGAAACTGTTTACAGGAAATTACAGCACTCTCGGCTAGACAAAAGATACAATAAATACCTGGTTTTTTCTAGTAATAATAGAAGTTTTAGTTTCTAGACTACACGACAGAGCTAGCTATGGTGCAGGGCTTAAAACTTAGCGTAAATACTGTAATAGTACCCCACCCTCATAATGACGGTGCGGAGTGTTGCGTAGTCTAGCTTTGAACGAGTTTTTCTCGACACTGCTTTATGCTACAATGCGCGCTTAGGTATCAAAAAATAGCCCTGAATTTCAGCTATTTTTTGATACGAAGGCCGCATTTTTTGAAAGTACGGGCGCTTTGAAAAAAATGAAATACTAAAAAACTTTTGCGACTACGCGACTGTACGAGGGCGGGTGGGGTACTATTACAGTATTTACGGTAGGTTTAATTTCTTTTAAATTAAAAAAAATACGATTAGGACAAAAGAATCGACTCATTTCTCAATTTTCGACTAGCAAAGAGGCGAAAATTCTATTTTGCAATTTTCCAAAAAACTGTCTTTGGCCAATTCACAACTGGGCAAAAGTTTTTTAGTATTTAATTTTTTTCAAAGCGCCCGTACTTTCAAAAAATGCGTCCCTCACTTATACCCTCACTTTATTTTGTCCTTTATAATCTTCTTTTTTTTCTTTCCGCTGCATTTTACATAAAGTTATGACTAAGTTTTATTTTTTTCAGGAAATGCCACGAGGAAAACCGCTCTCCGATTTCGAGGAAGGGCAAATCGTGACAAAGAAGGCTCAAGGCTTATCGAATTGCCAAATTCCTGGAGATTTGGGTCGTGATCCATGGATTATCAATTCTTTTGTCAAGAATCCAAACGGATATGGAACAACAATTCATTCTGACTGAATTTCGCTATTTTCCGCGTATGATCAACGAAGGATTCTCCGAAAAGCCTCCAACAATGTGACGACTTGCACCAAAATCAAGGCGAAGATGAACCTAAACGTTTCTTCTGAAACAATACGACGTATTATTTCACGTATTATTTTAAATACACGTTTTGTTTCATTAAAAGGATCAAAAAGATCCACGATTTCTCTACAAAATGACTTTTGAGAGATTCCACAAAGCTTTTCTTTTGTGGAGCTTATAAACTCTCAAACAAAGCTAATCAAAATGAAAAAAAAAAACAGTTTTTTCCACATAAACCTCCTTTGGTGTTTATATAAAAAAGATAGAGCACACTCAATTGCATAACTTGCCAAATTTTCAGGAAGATTTTATATATATATATATATATGCTTTTGTTTGCGTTTGCGTTAAAAAGCGTTTGCGTTAACAAACGTTTGCGTTAAAAAGCAAAAAAAAACCGATACATGCTTTATTCAGTTGAATAGCGACAAAAGAAGATCACAATAATTATCCGGGACATCACTCAAAACACACCCAAAAGATAAATAGATACCTCAAGAGAGAATCACAGAGCAGTCAAATCAATTGCCGAAATTGCGGTTTTAAATCTAGCCATGGTGGGAATACCACGAACATGAGAGGGTAAAATGTTCCAGAATTTAATAACTCGATTAAAAAAGAAACTGTGGGGGCTTTTAGAGGAAACGGAAGGTTGGCGTATGAGAAAAGGCCCCCTTCTGGAGGCGCCCCGTAGAGAGCCGAATTCAAAGAGACCAGAAATAAAATTTAAATGTTTAATGTAGAAACTTACGATTAGAATATTTTGCAAGCCTTCTCTTGGATGTAACATTATCACAATCTTGATCCTGTACAACTAAATACTCTAATTGAAAGCCATCCCCCGTACAGCCATCCCCTCGTACAGCCATCCCCTCGTACAGCCATCCCCCGTAGAGAGCCGAATTCAAAGAGACCATTTAACAATTTTAAAGCATTACAGTTTTCAGGAATTTAAAAGCCTTATTTTCAGGAAAACACTACAGTGTTTTGATACGAGAAATCACGAGATGGGTTTTCTGATGTTTTCTGATGCCGATTAAAATGTTTAGTCAAAGTTTATTAAATGAAATTAAATTTGAAAGTTCTAAGTAAAGTTTTCTTTTGTTTTTTCTTTCGTTAAATATCTCCTTTAATGAATGACATCATGATCTCGGGGAGGTCCGAATTGAAGCCATTGACATGCAGCTAAACAATATTATATTTTGAATAAACGACAAACATCTTAACAACATTTATCAGCTACAATGTGTATCTACTGATACTTTTACACATTGTTCACATTGTTTTAATAATTTTCATGCTTTTCATCAACTCACCACTCCCATATCACTCGGATCCTCAAGCCAGAGATCATCTTCATACGATCTCATCGCAATAACCATTAGCCTTGCCTCATGGACATAGTTCTTTCGATATTCATTTAATGCATTATATTCCTAGAAAACTCATCATCAAATATCTATTTTTAACCCACATCTGCACCATGGTCCAAATAACGAGCAGTGATGACACAGAAACAGTCGAACTTTTTTGAGTTTCTTGTCGCCCACATGATCAATTCATTGCAGTCGATGTCTGGATAATGATGGCACATATCACACGTTAATCTCCCACATCTGTAAAAACTTTATTGTTTTTGTGTGTCTTGTCTTGTCTTGTCTTTCTTGAAATTTGAGTTTAGTGAAGCACACTAAATGTAAAATGAAAAGTTAGGGATAGAGGACGATAAATTGATGTTTTGTGCTTCGCTTCGAAAGCTTCATTTCATTACGCTATTTCTACGCTCATAGCACAAAATAGTATTTTATACTCCGAAATTTCAGGGTGATGGTTTATCGAATGAGCATCTTATACTAAACTAAAAACTCTGCTAACGATTGAACCAGAATGAAAATTTTTGCTAAATTTTCTCCTTTTATACACTTTCCCAAGCCTACGGTAGTTCATCCACCCTATAATCCAAACACTCCAGCTGAATACTTTTTGTTACAGAACAAAAATGGTGCATCCTGAAAGAGCATAAAATCATATTATTGGGTTGTCCAGTTATGAATGCGCGTTTTTACTATTTTATAAGTTTCTCAAGATATCGAACAGATGTATATGAGTGTTATATATCATTCGAAAGCTGAAGATCTCCTCTACATTTTAGAATAAAAAAGTTTTTGAATTCATTGAACTTTTTGGGAAATTGACTGCACAAAGGGAGAGATCGTTTTCGAAAAAAACCCATTTTAGCTTAGCTATTCCTCAAGTTTTATGGTGTAAAATAATCGCCCAGAAAAGAAAAGAAAAGCAAAGATGCTCTGAAATTGTTATATTTTTTTAAAAAAAGTTGTATTGATATATCTATTGGCCAAACAGTAAACGGTTAACTCAATTTGAGCGGAGCCAAAACTTGATCCAAAGGCATCCTTCCATTTTTTGGCCACCTCTTCTTCTGTGCAGTCAATTTGCCCAAAAGCTGAAGAAATTCAAAAACTTTTTATATCAAAATGTAGAGGAGATCTTGAGCTTTCGAATAATACTCATATATATCTTTTCCTTGATTCCGGTATCTTGAGAAATTTACAAAATAGTAAAAAACAATAGTAAAAAACGCGCATTCATAACTGGACAACCCAATAGATATACAGTCGAACCTCTCTATAACGAACCTCGATATAACGTAAACCTCTCTATAACGTAAGGCGTGACCGGTCCCGGCCGACGTTAAGCTATATAAAACGGCACTCTATATAACGTAAACCTCTATATAACGTGAGCTATAGCCGTCCGTGAGTTACGTTATAGAGAGGTTCGACTGTACTATGATATACATAAATCGATAATGTTTTTGTTTTTAATGTAAAAAGTAATTTCTTAAAGCCTAGCAAAGTTTTTTCTTTGAAAAATTGAGTGCTTAAGCTTCTAGTTTTAAACAAACCCTTCAACTTGGTCAAAATTTTGACAAATTTGCTGTATGGGTGTCCGTCTGTCAAAGTGGCAGTGTTGAAATTCGTTGTGTTGACGTCGATCAAAGTTCATCACTTCAACCTGGAACAATATTATCATTCATTCTTTTAATTAAGTTAGATAATAAATCTTCAATTTGTTTTAGGTTCTCTTATCTATTTCCTAACCTTAGCCCCACTTCTCAACCCAATCATCATCATCACTGCCGCCTTGCTACGCGTGATCGTGCTGGGCTCGTCGTTAGCATTTGTCATTGCGACTAAAAAAATTTCTACCTTTAAATTTTATCTTTTTAAGTTATTTATAAATGTTTTTCTTATGTTTAAGTGTAAATTCTACCACTGAAATCCACTCCAAAACAGATACTTTTCCCGGTGAGTGCTTCGGTATCAAAAGAGCGAGTAAAAGCCTGAAATATTTTTAGTTTAAATGTAATTCAATTTAAAGTTATATGTAATGTTGAGTGTTAAAGTTTTTTCCAAATTCTGACCAGCTCAAGTGCTTCAACGATTTGATTTTTAGATTGCAATTGTGGTGCTAGTCGACTGTCCTGCAGATCCTCAATGGCCATCAACACCTAAGCAGTGGTGATTTTTGTTAGATCAACATTTAATCAATGTCACGGTTTCTTACAAGTTCTATGTAACGAACAAGGATATTAACATAGTCAATGTTTCTCAAAAAAACATTTACCTGAACCGGGTTCACTTTCGACTCTTTGATCGTGTCTTTGTCGCTCAACTTTTGGCACAACTTCGCGATCAACGGGTTTCTAAATATTTAAAGTTTAGCTACATTTTCACACACCAAAAGAAGGCTTCTAAATGAACAACAAGTTTAAATCTACCACAGAATTTGTCAAGATTGTAACAGATTCAAGAACAGATTTATGAACAGATTTATGAACAGATTTATGAACAGATTCATGAAAAGATTCAAGAACAGCTTCAAGAACAGATTCGTGAAAAGATTCAAGAACAGATTCAAGAACGGATTCAGGAACAGATTCAGGAACAGGTTCAAGAACAGATTCATGAACAGATTGAAGAACAAGAAGAACAACAGGATTTTCAAAACTTAATTTCTCAAATCTTGTTTGTTTTCCAATGAAAATCTAAAATTTACCAACACTAAAGTATTTAATTGCCATATATCATTCAAAAGTTTTGATAAATTGTACCTCTTATGTCGTATATTGCTAACGATAGCGATTTTCTCGAGACAATCGAGAAGAAAAGCATACGGCATCCCATCAATTAACGCCTCCCAAACGGCACTCAACTCAAGGTATTCAGCGGGAATATGTTCATAGGAGAGACGATGAGATCGGATGGCATCAACAACGGTGTCCTTGTTCATCCATTTAAACGCTTCGATTAGATCGAGGGCCTTTGAGTCGTTCTCTCTTTAAAATGCCACTTGAATGATCATTTCAACGGTACTCACGAATTGAGTTGCTCCCAAGTATAATACCATTTCTCTATTTCAGTATCGCTTACACGGAGCTTTCTCGTTGACAGCGCTCCATGGGAAATGTAGCGGTAGATTTGCTCAATCACGAGTTGCTGTGGATCGAATTGGAGCAAAGTCACCTGAAATTCAAGAGCAAACATTTGTTGTTTAACCTTTACTCTAAAGTTAACAAACAATCATGATAGGGTGTGGTGTTTAATATGTTTAACCTTTAATATTATTGTTCGGAGGTTCATCACAATCCAGGCATTTAGAAAACTACTTCTACTTGGTAAAAGGTGGATACTGATTCATTTCACGCGTAAGCGAACAAATCGTTTTCTAAAGTACACCGTGCCCAACTTTGACATGATGGCCATTCTATACTTGGCATAAGACCAAAATATGTCGACTATTTGAAGTTTAATTCCAAATAATGATTACAAAGTTTACAAACTTTAGCATCGCAGAGCTTGAACAGCAATTGGTGAGACCATCGACCAAATTTCGAGCACTTGGTTACTTCAAAGGCCAACTCCTCGGGGCTTTTTGAAGAATACCTAGATATTCAAGTTAATAAACTCACAACTAGTAATTTAGCTAGTAATATATGCAAATATATCTATAAATTTATTAGCAAACCATTGGAAAATCGCTTCCTTCATAGCCGGCTCCCAAATCACCGCCGTGTTGCCATTATTGGTTTTGTCGGTGATCTGATTGCAGAAATCGATGAATTGGAAAAGATCAACTGAGCCAGGACAGATCTGAATAGTTTTTAGCTTTAAAATACTAGCTATATAATTCAAATTACATGATTAACGAGGCTGAGGGCGGTGAGATGCATTGCGTTGAGATATGCACGATAGGCTGCGGTGATTGGGCGCTCGTTCTCTTTCTTTTCATTCACGGCACACACACGGTAACTAAAATACGAAATTTGATAGTGAATACGCATAAAATCTACAACAAAAAGCTATTAAATCTAAATTTTCACCACTCACCGAGCACAAAGCGCCAATCCAAAGAGCGTGGACTCTTGTCGACTAATTCTCTTGCCAAGCGAGTACTCCCAAATCTCATTCAATATCACGTAAGCATCTCCTAGATTTATGAAAATAAATCTGACTAATAAGAACTTAGCTAGTGAGAACTTAACTAGTAAGAATATAAAAAAGTTTATCAAACTAACCATCATTAATGATTTCAGCAAGAGTCCAGAGATTCTCTCGTGGAAAGGATTGGTTTGCTTCATAAGTCACTCCATCGTTTCCTTGAAAAATCCCAATGATATTTTTAGCAAAATATTCTGATCTATTGAAAAACATTATACATTACAAAACATCAAATATATTAGCTTGGTAAATATGAAAGGTTATTTTTTTGATCATTTTTAACATAACAGAAAAATTTATTTAAGCACTTTCAAAATCAAATGTATTCACCACAAGCATTAATAACTTCTTTCCAACGTTGCCCCAAATCACGAATACCGTCCTCGTAAAATTAAAGATTTTTAGAGGCAAAATAGTTGGCAACCCAATTTTCGATGTCCTGCTTTTGTTTGAACTGCTGTCCAGAAACTGCTTGTTTCATTGACCGAAAGAGATGGTAATCCGATGGGGCTAGATCAGGGCTGTATGGTGGGTGTGGAAGAAGTTTCCAGCTCAACTTGTCGATTTGTTCGTGGACGATCTTTGAAATGTGAGGCCTAGCATTGTCGTGAAGAAATCTGACCTTCGATGGATCGATCCTCTTTTTCCTCAATGCTGGATCGACTCGACCCATTTGTTCTGCATAAAGTCTTCCGTCAACAGTGTCTCCTTTATCTAATATTTCCAAATGAGCCAATCCCTTAGCATTCCACCACACACAAAGCATAACTTTTTCGGAGGCTTCGGGATAGAATGAGAGGTCCGCTTCGAACTCAGCCACTGTCCATAGAGTTGAATATTTTCATACGAAAGCCAAGTCTCATCAGATGTCAAAAAATACTTCCAAAAGTCACGATGGCTAGCTTTACGTAGAAGAACAGAGCTCAAGGTGACTCGTGTGACTTTGTGGGCATCAGTGAGGTCGTGGGGAGCCATTTCCCGCTTCGATATGATTTCCCAAGAACGTGTAAATGGTAACATGAGTGCATCCGAACTTTTCTGCTAATTCTCTACACTTTTGCGATGGATCCAAGTCGACCTCGTTCAGTAACAGCTGATCGTCCAAAGTAATCGGCGGCTTTCCATGTGGTGCGTCTTCCTATGACTCGTTTCCCGTTTTGAAGCGACCGTACCAAACACAACATTGTTTGTAAGTAAGAGTAGCTTCTCCAAAAACAGTACAAATGTTCTGATGGCATTCCGTAGCTTTCTTGTTTAACTTGAATTCAAAGAAAATGGCGGCCCTGATTTTAAATTTTTGGTTATCCATCTTTGCCGAGCTGAAACAATACAAATATTGTTCAAAACAAAAATGTTTTTGCAAAAAAAACATGAGCACATTTTGACATATTATTGAGAAAAATCCTAGACAGGGAATGTTCTTCGTAACGACAGGGCAATATTTTTTGTAAAAAATAACCTTTCATATTTACCAAGCTAATAAAATATAAAATAATAAACTTGATTAAAATAAAAACAAACCGATTAGGAAAAGTCGTCGTATTCGGATCAAATTTGGCATAGGCAGTAATTTTTCGTTTGAAGCGTTTGTCTGAGTCATAAACACTTGGATTTATTTTTTAAATCATAAATTTTGAAAAAGAATAAATGAATATTTAAAGGTCAAACTATCAACGTTAAACTTGTTTGCCACTAATGTCCCATAAAAACCAAGAGATTTTTGTTTTGATCAGTACTCGCTCACAACGTTTTGTATTTCTTTTTTTTTCTTTTTCATGCTAAAAATTTCTTCTTTCTTGCACTAACATTCATTTTTTAGGAATCGACACGAGAAGGGAGTTGCAGTCGATCGAATGAAGCAAACTCGAGAAGAAATCCACGCCCAACTGCTCCAACGATTTTCAAGAGGGATTTCAGCGCCCAAAGCAGCACGAGAAATCAATCAATTTTATGGCAACAGAACCGTTGGAACGAGTACTGCACAGGAATGTTTTCACAAACTCAAGACGGGCAACACGAGGATCAACCGGAAGAGGGGAAGCAGCCAACCCAGAAAGTGGATCGATCGATTTTGAAGCACCGACTCCTGCGAAACTGGATCAACCCTGAAATTGGCTTGACGTTGCTGTGAACGAATGACTGCTGTATGGTGATGTCTGCGAAAAGGAAAAGAGGGAAGAAATTGAAGAAAGCAACGTTAAATTTCATATGAAATCAGAAAGGTCGATCGATTTTGTGAAGAAGAACTTAGACTGGAATATCGTTCCTCATGCACCGTCTTCTCTAGACATTGTCCCTTCTGACTATCACTTGTTCTTGTTGCTAAAGGATTTTTGACGTGATAAAGAGTTCAAAGATGAGAGCGAGCACGAGAACGGATTGAACGACTATTTTCACTCGCGCCCGCGGCATTGGGCAGATCGTTTGATCCTGATTCTTTGTTGTTTCTATGCGTTGAAAATAAATGAAATTCAAAATCTCTGGATTTTTATGAGACAACCTAATAGTTAAATGTGAAATACCTGTTGTTCTCGCGCCTTTCGTCCCTTTGTAGCTAGCAGTTGTAAACGCTCTGATTCGGATGTTTTCTAAAGTTTATTGTTGAAAATTTGAGAAATTTTACATTTTACAGTAAAAATGAAAAACACTACTCTAGCAAAACAGTCGAATCTCATTCGTAAACAATAGAAAATTTGCCTAGGTTCACTTTCAAAGCGATTCAAAAATTTGAAAAAAACAGAACTTGAAGCCAAGTGATTCAAAAACAAATTTGCTAACAAGAGATTTAATAGCATTATTTTAAATTAAACAAACTGTTTTCAGGGACTTTTGTCTCATTTTCGCTTCTTTAAGCCCCGAGAAAGCCTTGCCGGCAACTCGAAGCTCCTCGCTTCTCTTCAGCCACACCATTGACTCCATTCTGTAACAATAGTAATTTGATAAAAGTTTTTTTTAAAGGCACTACATAAAAATGTACAAATGCAACAAAACAAAACCACAAAACAGTATTTTGAGTGTGAACTTTAACGGCTAAAACAGTGAAAAGACACAAAAATTGAAGGAATATCAAAAGGTAAATCTTTGAACTGTTTAAATTTCAACTTCAGTGAAAAAAGGAACTGAAAAAATGAGCAAAGACAATTTTTTTATTCTTTTCTCTCAAGGAAGAGACAGAAAAGTCTCTCTTTCCGAGAACGTCCACCCTTCTCTTTTCCGTCATTATTGTGCAATGTGTCGGTTGTTTTGAAAGAATGACATTCATTTCTGGAACGCCATGTTTTAGGCATTTTTTATAGTTCTTCTTGTTTCTAGAAGCCCTTTCTGTTCTAAAATTCATGAGTCATAGTAAAAAAAAAAAAGAGAAAATAACGTGTTGTGCAATGATGAACATATAAATCGTTCATTGTAAAAATTCAGTGTAAAAAGCGTTCATTTCACCTCGTTACCCCATTCACTTCAAATTTCCTTTTATTTACGTTCATATTCATGTTAATTATTTATCTTTGTAGCTAACAAAAGCCCACAATTAGATCAACATTAAACTTGTGCTTATGAGTCTAATTGCAATGATCAGTCAAAAGCTTAAGTAACCCTAAATGCTACGACTCTGATCTAATCGACTCTGATTAAATGTTAAATTATTCAAATGTTTCCCTGAACCGAGTGATGTAGGTAACCGCACTCATATGGTGAACTGGTTCCCAAGACCGCCCCTTCTCCTCGGGATTGGGATAACCAGGGATCCAAATGGGTAGCCTTGTGTAAGGCGCAAGCTCATATAAAGCGGGTAGCCTTCTCCTCCTACATCATCTCCTACATCGTTTTCTACATCGTCTCCTACAACGTCTCCTACATCATCTCCTACATTATCTCCTACATCGTCCCATCCTCACAAACGATAGAATATTCCCTAGGTCTTAATGTGTAAATTGTGATTATGTGTGTGCAAAATAAATGACCGGTAACCACGGTATACATTATATTTATGTTAATTATTTATCTTTGTAGCTAATAAAAGCCCACAATTAGATCAACATTAAACTTGTGCTTATGAGTCTAAGTGTCAAAGTGTCATGTCATGTCTAATGATCAGTCAAAAGCTCAAGTCACCTCAAATGCTACGACTCTGATCAAATGTTAAATTATTAAACTTTTTGCATTACTGTTACAGGAATTCATTTACATTTACAAGATTTAAGTTACAGGAATTCAGTTCGAACTTCTTTTGAGTCGATTGAGCTTTTTATCTTCTTGATTTGTTTCAACTTTCATTTTAATCATCGTTTTTTGGCTTTCACATCAACTGCATTATTTCCACAAAGAAAAAAACTTCGATTACTTTCAACAAAACGTTGTAACATTGTACCTAATTGTAATTGTACCTAATTGTAAGTGATGGGTGGGCATCGAGAAATCAAATATTTTAATCAGCAATATCATCACGCAACAGTGCAGTGCATAAATGGTGCGCAATTCTCATACGTTTTGGAACTTTTTGAGGAGTTTAACGATTTTATCGATCCCTAAAAATCAAACCATCCATACTAAAGGTGTTGAAAACGTTTGAGGAGCGATCAAAAGCTCTATCAAGCATCTGAGAGGATCAACACATGACAATCTGGAGTCGAATACATATATAGACGGCATTTCAATAAATCTTTGATCTTCCAACATGTCCTCAACTCTTCCTAGCATTTCCCTTCGTTGAAATGGTTTAATAAAGTAGCAAAAGCTTTGAATGTTAATGAATAAAGTATTTGAATAGAACAGTAGTTGAATAAAAGTAAAACATCATGGTGACCGCACAACACCATCCAGTAATTTTTACCATCGAACCAAAGCACAACGTTTAAAACCATCGGCAACTCTTGAAGAAAGGGCAGTGGCGGGTTTGAAAGTCGCATTGACCCGGGCCTGGAATGATATTACTGTGAAAGAGTGTGCGACCATCATTCGCAACTTTCCCAAGTGACTCAAGAAGTGTATTGAGGCCCAGGGAGGCAATTTTGAGCATTTTATGAAAGTTTTTTTTTGCTTTTCAAGTTTATTGTTGTTTAAATTTACTGTTTTGTGGAATTTTCTCGGAAAAAAGTTGTTAGTTCTGATTTTTTTTCTGAAAAATTCCACGTATTTTCTGGTCACACTGTAGATAAGGCCTCAAAGAACTGTACTCCATAAGAGAACATACATAAATACATAAATATATAGAAAGAATATAAGAACGAGTATTGCAAACTATTGCGTTTTGTGAAAATTCGTAAATTTGGCATTTCTTAAAAACGAGTTTTTGAATCTTTCTGAAAATTTGGATAGCTTCATTTTTGATTCTCTACAACTTTTCCATTGACACCAAAATGGGTCTCTTTTGAAGGAAGTGCTCAAACTGTCACATATGACAATAGCCGGCAGTTTTCAATTCACCAACCCAATAACAGTAAAATCGAAATTTCACACGTGCATTCTCCATCACTCAATATGCTTTTTGTCCTGATCTTTTTCTCAATCACTTTCTTGTTGCATTCCATCCAATTTGTCATTGATCTTCTTCCTCTCTTTGTCATTCGATGGCACAAAAAAGGTCAGCTGTTTCGTCTCTTTCGTCTCTTTCGTCCTTTCTTTCGTCCTCTCTTAATCATCTAGTCGACTCACTTTGTCCAGAAAAACCAAACACATTCATTTGGGCACTTTAACATTCTCCTAAACTTCCGCATTTCTGATCAATCTTTTTCCAAATTCTAAACAATATTTCTACGATCTAACGGAATGACTTTCACTTACACGAAATTACCACCAGAACTACAAAAATGTGTCCTAAACTCGACTACACTATCCGAGATTCCAAAGCTACTCCAAAGCAACAAAACGAATCGAGAGCTGATCAGGAAGAAGCCTTTTTCGACGAAGAAAATCGACTCGATTGAGGTGAAAATCCCGATTTATGGAATCACCGTCGACGATTCGGTGATTTCCGAAGTGAATTTCCTAGTCTCTTTCCAAAATCTCGATCTCATCTTTCGACTCACAAACAATGTGATTCACTTAGCCGATCTACAACTCTCAATTTCAAATCAACATTTTTGGGCTTTATTGAAAGATGTTGTCGCTTTAAAAACCCTTCATTTACACTGTTTACCCCATTTTGGAACAAGCGAAATGGCCGAAAAGGAATTCGAGCATTTGCTCGATGCAAAAACTTTCCTACCCAATCTCAAATATGTCAATGCATTCGAGATAACGACGAATTCAAGTAAATTTCTGAATATTTGCTACACTAAGCTGAAAATCGATGGCTTTAATCGAATCCAATTGAGAATTGATCGATCAAGTGGTGACTGGAAGAAATGTTTAGGAAAGTTATTCGACGAATCCCTTCAACAATGCCCAACATTGACTTGGGCTAGTCAGAAAACCCCTTGGAAACAGTTATCTCAGCTCAACTTACGTCTCTTAACCCTCGAGACTTTCGATGGAATGTGGAAGAAATTTGTGCAATTGATTCGAGACGTTCACAAGAATCAAATCGACTTTGACACGGTGACAATGGTTGGGGCAAAGTATTTCTCGAATGAGACAATCGATGACCTGTTCGTCGAGCTGCAAGACATTTTCAAGCCGATCGCTGGACTGAAGAGGATTGGTGGTGGCTCGCAAAAAGGGGCACTTTTAGTGGAAAGATTGAGAAATCTGAGTGTCGATCTCGAGAAAATGCGAATCCAGGATCATCCACTACTACTCGACATTCGAGATCAGAAACGAAAAAACTTTTTCTACCAAAAAACAATCTCAAATGATGTCGATGTGGCTGGATGCGCGAGTTTATTCCAAAGTTCTGTTCCCGGGAAGAAAGGCTCACAATTTATCTATCAAATTTTCACGATTTATTTGTCTTGTGGATAAATTTCTTGAGCTGAGAACATTTTTTGATCAGAGAAATGCATCTAAACTCAATTTCATTCAAAAATACTCAAATTTTCTTTTTGAAATCTGAAGACTTTTAGCTTTAAAACCCTTCATTTACACTGTTTACCCCATTTTGGAACAAGCGAAATGGCCAAAAGAGAGTTCGAGCATTTGCTCGATGCAAAAACTTTCCTACCCAATCTCAAATATGTCAATGCATTCGAGATAACGACGAATTCAATTAAATTTCTGAATATTTGCTACACTAAGCTGAAAATCGATGGCTTTAAAAAGGCTCACAATTTATCTATCAAATTTTCACGATTTATTTGTCTTGTGGATAAATTTCTTGAGCTGAGAACATTTTTTGATCAGAGAAATGCATCTAAAATCAATTTCATTCAAAAATACTCAAATTTTCTTTGAAATCTGAAGACTTTTAGACTTTTTAGATGAAAGTCCCAGTTTTGTGCTTAGTTTTAGCAAATTTACACGTTTAAATATCTTCAATCTTTGAAATCTTAAATTCACAGAGAATTTGAGACTCGTGAAGGGTTTTTAAGTTGCATTTAAGAAGTAGATTATACATATAAAGATTTGTTCAAGTTATTCAAATCAAATTTTGATGAGTAAAGCTTTTAGAACTTTTATAGGGTCAATGCACATGCTATGAGAGACATTTTTAAATAGACTGTTTCTTATTCTTGTTTCAAGCTCGAAGTGTCATAGGAGTTTTATATAAAAGCCCTATACATCTTCGACAGATTCTTCTGGAACACATAATGAAAAGGGTCTGGATTCGTCAGGAACACATAATGAAAAGCGTCTGATTTCGTCTGGAACACATAATGTAAAGCGTCTGCATTCTTCTGGAACCCATAATGAAAAGCGTCTGGATTCGTCTGAAACACATAATGAAAAGCGTTTGGATTCGTCTGGGACCTATGATGAAAAGCGTTTGGATTCGTTTGGAACCCATAATGAAAAGCGTCTGGATTCGTCTGGAACACGACTGAACATGAAAAGCGAAACCCATGGTTTGTTAGAAATCGACAAAATATCACTCAGAGAAAACGACTGAACAGATTGATTTGAAAATTTGAGTGGAGACTTAATTAAACATTCTCTACGTTTTTTATTTCAACACCAAAGTGGGTTTGTTGGATAGAAATGTTTAAATTTAAATTTAAAAAAGGAAAACTCTTCATCACCGCATTTTCGAATGCTTAAGTTCGATCATTTGAAAAGTCTGAAAACAAAAGCTTTCCCGTTTGGCTCAAAAGATGTTTTGTAGAGGGAAGATAGGGCTTTCTTATCTTTGAAGCTTCTAGGTTCTAGGGTTTACTATTAAGTTCGGTTGAAAAGCGCCTCTTGAAAGAATACTGACATTTCATTTTCATTTATTGACCCTAAAAATGGATCAAATGTTTTTTTTAAAAAACAAAACTGTCAAAAACAAAGCTTCAACAAAAGAAGCTATTTTTTGATCATTCAAAATTCAAAATTCTACAATTTTTGTCACAAAGTATTTCAAATAAACACATAATTGAAATACCGTATTTTATCTAATAGTAGTGCACCCAGAGCGTCACCTAAAACCGAGTTGATGTTTTTTGGGCAAAGATCAAACCATTCGAACTCGGCTAAAAAGAAAATCGATGTTTTTATTGTGGAAAATCAATAAATTTGTCAATTGAAAGAATCAAAATTCGCTTTTAACTTCTCGTTTTGCGCAAGAAAATTTCCTAGCACAAGTCCGTCATTTCACCATTTCCTCATTTTCTTGCTTCTTTGAAATGGGCTCAACTTACAGTTTTCCCTTTTCATCGTTTCCCGCTGAGTTACAAGAATCAATCCTTGCTAAATGCTCTGCCGAAAGCTTAACAAAGCTTTTACAAGCAAATTCCTTGATTCGCCAAAAATCTCTCCACAATGGACCTTTCGGAAAATCGGTTGACTCTCTGAATTTTGCTCTTCGATACGATGGTGATCGACTGAAATGGCTAGAGGTTTTTCTTCAAAAAGATTCTTTTATTTGGCCTCTAGAAACACATTCTTCTAATCGTATTCTCGAAAATATCGACCTCTGCAAAATGGTCACTATTGTCATTCATCCAAACGGCTCATCCGAGCATCCGCTTTCATTTAGAATGGCAAAAGAGATCGGGAAAACCTTGCCGAGACTTAAATTCTCCAAAAAGCTCCTAATTGAAAGGAGAATCAACTTTTTGGAATTTGAAGGAATTCTGGAGTTTTTTCGTTTCAAAGTACTTGATGAAGCTGAAATATTCGCGAATTTCAACAAGAAACTCCTTGAAAGATTGTCTTTTTGTGAACACTTAAAAATTCCACTTTCTTTGGAAAATTTGATGTTGCTAAAAGAGAGAAAATTTGAAAAAATCACCCTTTTTGTGACGGATTATTTGAGACCGTTGCGATGGTTCAACGAGAATTCGTTGAGGACTCGAGTTGTTCATTTGGATTTCTTGGAAAGTACACTGGATCTCATAGAAGACTACTTTCCAGTTGGCCTTCGATGCTCTACACTCGAGAGAGAGTTTTTTAAAGAGAAAATCGGAAAAGAGATAGATTTAACGACTTTTGAGCTGTTCTCGGCACAATTCAACGAAACTTTTACGTGTTACGTTGCTCAATCGCAACGCGGCTCGACAGCGAAGACTGAATTTCCTGATGCTGGAGGCTCCGAGTTGATGTTTTTTGGGCAAAGATCAAACCATTCGAACTCGGCTAAAAAGAAAATCGATGTTTTTATTGTGGAAAATCAATAAATTTGTCATTTGAAAGAATCAAAATTCGAGTATTTATATTTAACCAATAGTTTTGATTTGATTTGATCGATCCAATAGTTTGGCTAGAAAATCCGAAAATTTGGAAGACACAAAACGTTTATAAAATTTATATTATGTACCGTATTCTCTCTAATAGTAGTGCACCCAGAGCGTCGCTTAAATTGCTCGAAATCTCGAGAACCGCTTATCAGAACCCATCGATGTGGCGTCGAAAAATGTAGCTGACGATGAGGTGGGATCTAGTGGGGGATTAAAGTCTAGATCTAGTGGGGGATTAGAGCGTTGAGCTTCTGCGAAAGCTTGGAAACCGTAAATTAGTCACCAACACGGCTCGCCGGGGTGCACTACTATTAGAGAAAATACGGTAATAAGAATAAGATACTGGATAATAGGATACTATATACTAGATAATACTAATCAGATACTAGATAATAAGATAGATACTTTATTCAGGACATGAAATAAAGTGCGCAAGATTTAAGATTAATACACATGAATTCATACACATAAACACGAAAAGGACCGATAAAAAGCAACACTATATAATATGTAATATATGGGTAGCACAGATAACGCCAAGAATCCACTAGAGGTTCAAGATCAAGATCATTATGTTAGAAGTAAGTGAAATTGGCTCGTTCTTCTGATTCGCGAACAAACGGCGAACTAGTGAGTGTTCCCAAAAAACGCACTTTTTTTGCTTTCTTTATCTTATTTTGTATCTGTATTCTTTATCTGTTCTTTATCTTATTGTTAATAAGTTAATTGCTAAAATAATTTCTTTTTGTATTCTTATTTTTTCATCTTTTTAAATGAAATCAGATTTTCTTTGTTGTGCCGTGTTTCCAAAGTCAATTTATTATTTAACAAATAAACGCTGCGTTAATACAGGGTATTCAAGGATTAACACTTTTTCTCAGTTAAATCAAAGTTTTTTTTTGTACGGTGACTCGGGCAGCCAACTGTTTACAGTTCGACTGGCAGTTCTAGGCTTTGTTTTGAGTGAACTTCGCTGTAAAGCTGGTGAAGACGATACAACAACTTGAACATCACATTTGACAAATAGGAATAAGAGTGGTCCTCTTTTCTTTTTTAAAATCAGTTCTAAAACCAGAACTAAACCAAAAAAAGCAAACTATTCTAGTCCTATTACCGTATTCTCTCTAATAGAGGTGCACTCTTTAATAGTATTGCGGTCCAGGAGGGGTTGAAAAAATAGTAGTGCACCCCCCGAAAATTTGAATTTCTGTTTGCTTCTTTTTCATCTAAACCTTTTTGACTTTATGTTTATGTGACATTCTAAAGCTATTCAAGCAAGCAAAAGTGAGGCTTTTTTTTATTCATTTATTAACTATTCTTCACATAAAAAAGTTAGCAAAAAATCTAAAATTGTTGTGCAAAGTGCAAAAACACCTTTTTATTGTTTGGACACAAATTGTCAACTCGCCGGCCCACAACTGTATGTCAAAAGGAGCCAAAGGAGTACGTGAAAGAATTGCAAGAATTTTTGGAACAAATTTTATATCTGTCTTACTTTGGTAAATGATAAAACTCTTTAATAGTACTGCACTCTCTAATAGTATTGCGGTCCAGGAGGGGGTTCAAAAAATAGTAGTGCGCACTACTATTAGAGAGAATACGGTATATGAACAGATCAGTTTACCAGGACAATCAAAATAACAAAAATTTACCCACCCAAAATATTCACTTTTGCACCACAACAACCCCCAGGAGCCACTAGAAATTCTGAGAAAAATCGAGCTGAGCTGATTTTTTTTTGAAACACCCTGTAGTGTACATTTGCAAATACGTTTCCCATTTTCTAAGCAATCTCAATTTTCGAGGACAAAGTCTATCCCCTTATCTGGCTAAATCTTCCCAAAGAAATCCGGTTCTTCCCCCAGGGTGATTGATCTCTCAAATTTTTATGGGATTTGCTTAGGCCGTAGAATTTTTCAGTCTCTTTTGATACCTTTGGGTAGCTCCATGGAGGTGAAGCTCTTTGGAGATCTTCGAGGAGCTTTTGATCTGCACTAATCTGTGATCTGTGCGCGGATTTCTGCTATAAAAGCACCAGCCTAGGCATCACCATCATCAACTAGCCGCATCTCTATCTCTATTTCATTCAATGTTTCTCAAGTTTTTTTTCTTCTAGTAGGGTTGACTTTCAATATCTTAGAAGACTAGTAATTCAAAAATACAAAAATCTAAAGTGACTACACTACAGGGTGCGGCATAAGTATGGTTACAGACTCAGAGCCGTGTATCGTAATGAAATACGAACGGATTCATGTTAACTTTATTTAAAATTAACAACAGTAATCATATTCGTTTAAAAAAATAACAAATTATTCAATATGGGCACCTTTATTCTTGATAACGGCTTTAAGACGCTTTGGATAACTTTCCACGGCGGCCCGCAGGGTACTTTGTGGAATTTTCGCCCAGGCTTTCTTCAGAGCTTTTTGAGCTGTGCATGCTTTTTGCTCCAAAATTGCCCAAACACAGAAATCCATAACATTGAGGTCGGGCAAATTAGCTGGCCATTCATTGACCATTCATTGGCCATTCATTGTAGTACACTAGAGCTAGGACTAGTGTAGTAGCATGAAATTCGAGATCTAAGTTTCACATGATAAAGCTTTTCAGCTTTCCATTTAGCTGTATCCTGTACCATTTTGAATTCTTCATTTTTGACTATTTCTTTTCAATTACCCAAATGCTCTCTGAAATAATCAATTCAAGTTCATTCAGTTTTCCTTACTCTTCCTCAACTCAGACTCTCAAGATGCGAGCCTTCTCCATTCTTTTCATTGCCCTCTTCCTTATCGGTTTGTTTTATTTAACTTAAAAATTAAAACTTAAATTCCTAGATGTCATACAAAGCTTGTCTTTTTCAAAAACAAAAAAGAAAAAACTTTTCAACACAACAAACTGATAACTGAATTATATTACATAGATGTTCTCTACTGAATTATAGTGCATAGATGATTCTCTACTGAATTGTAGTACATGGGTGATTCTCTACTGAATTATAGTATATAGATGATTCTCTACTGAATTACAATACATAGATGATTCTCTACTGAATTATAGTACATAAATGATTCTCTACTGAATTGTAGTACATAGATGTTCTCTACTGAATTATAGTACATAGATGTTCTCTACTGAATTATAGTATATAGATGATTCTCTACTGAATTGTAGTACATAGATGTTTCTCTACTTAAAAGAATGTCAAATTTTTTTATAGGCTTCACTCTTGCCACCGAACCGACTATGATGAAGGAGGACGATGTCCATAATTCGTTCGCACAATGTCCGGGCACATGTCCAGTAAGTTTTTCATAAACATTTGCCAAATTTGTTTTTAGTTTTTCTGGGGTCCTAAATCATAGGGTGGGATTCTTCGTACATTTTTTGATTCATCGATCAAAGTTAATTTCAGACCTATCCCCCTGATTGCACAGCTTGTTGCATTGGTCTTGGAGAGCCGAGTGGCGTCTGTCACGAAAGCAGTTGTGTTTGTGCGTGATTTTTCAAAATAACCTTTAAAAATTGTATTTGTTATTTGTTATTTTTATCATACTTGAAAAAAGAAATAAATTTACATTTGATCTAAACGAATACACTTACCGTAAATACTGTATTAGTACCCCAACAGCCTCGTACAGTCGCGTCGTCGCAAAAGTTTTTTTAGTATTTCAGTATTTCATTTTTTCAAAGCGCCCGTACTTTCAAAAAATGCGTCTTTGGTATCAAAAATAGCCCTGAATTTCAGCTATTTTTTGATACCTAAGCGCGCATTGTAGCATGAACCAGTGTCGAGAAAAACGCGTCCAATGCTAGACTACGCAACGCTTCGCACCGTCATTATGGGGGTGGGGTACTATTACAGTATTTACGGTATTTAACACTTATTTAAAAATAATGTGGCACAAACGGTGAACACAACTCCAAACACCAAATGCTTATAAGAAAAAAAACACAAATTATGGAGAAAGAACCAGTGATCTCGATGGATTGAACCTTGACTTCCTAGGATACAAAGTCCCTAGCCAGTCGACCATGATAGCATCATTTAAAGTGAGAATTAATTATATATAATGCCCGGAGTTGCTTTGCGTTTCGCGAGTGCGGCATTTGAAACAAGAGGCACCAAGCCAGTTTTTTCTTTTTTTTGTGGATTGACAGTGCTTGATCTCTTCAGAAATATCACATTTACAATGCTAAAAGAATTACGTTTGGTCAAGAAAATAGTTGACCTTTGCAAAAAAAGTGAGTTAATTTGTGTTTGAAAAAGGAGAGAAACCCGGGTGTTCATTTAATACATGGTGCGCCATAATTGTCGCAACAAGGTATCACGCGCGTTCAAGGGCAATAACTCGTTGATTTAAGCTTCATTTCTGTTTTTTTTTGTGTTTTTATTATATTTGGAATATAAGTGAAAGTTTTTTTCGTATAAAATGTGTTGTTTTTTAGAATGATTGGAAAATCCCCCATCGACAATCGATCATCGAATTGCACAAGCGAGGAGTCTTGGCGCCGGAGATCGCAAAAGCGTCTTAAAGTCGACAGAAGTGTCATTTTCCGCACTATCCAACGCTACGAAGCTACGAGAACAATTGCTGATACACCAAGAAGAAGTAGACACCCAACTGACAAAGACAAAGATAAACAAAAACATCAAGCGAGCAAGGGACCGAAATCGGAGGAAGCCAAGCCAGTCGCCAAGGCAAATGGTAAAGAAGATGGCGATTTCAAGCACTTCATTGCGTTGGCTCGAAAATAAGCACTTCAAAAATAAGCTCAAACTTACTGCTTACAAGAAAAACAAGGCTCAACTTCTTTCAAATGCCGCTAAAAACAAGCGAAAATTGAGAGCAGATCAGTTATTGATGCGCTTCAATGGAATCGATCCAGCCTATTTGGTCGCCACCGTTGACGCCTTCTCGAAACGCCTGCGAGCCTGCTCAAATGCTAATGGTGGCCGATTTGATAGTTCATTTATAAATGTTATTCAGTTAAAAATTTGTCTTTTTTACTCTTGTCTGGCTTAAAATCAGAACTTTATCTTGTTTGAGACAATTATGGTGCACCCTGTAATTACTGAACGTTTCTTACTTCTGGCCAGCCGTGTAGAGACATACTTGTAGACAATTTTGTACTCGTAGGACCGCTGTCAATAAGTAAAATCCAGATTTAGGATATTGTACAATGGTTATGATATACATAAGTACGTATGAGTAGAGATACACTGATGAATAAGATAGCATCTATTAATGAATCTATTAATGAATCTTTAGAAAGCACTCTTTCGCTTGCTTATTTCACATTTCTTTGGCCACTTCATAACTTTTTACTTTGGTAAATATTTAGCGATGATTTTACCAACAAAATATGAGTGTTATTTTTGTTTTTAAAATTAGCGTCAATCCTAAAACACTCACATGGCATTGCACAGTTTTGCACTAAAAGGAAACGAAGCTATCCAAAAAATTCCCAAAATCTACCGGTTTTGACCATTTTCACCAACTTTGAAAGCTCAAAACATCTCGTAAACTTAATCAAATTTTAAAAATAAATACATCTTGAGTATCGAATCGAAATCAAAGAGATCGAATTCAGTTATTTTGAGTAATAAAATGTTCGACCACTGCCATGAGGTCTTAAAATCTTTAGCATATTAAAATTGACGTGTGAAACTACGTAAAATTGACGCCAAAAAAGACAAAGTTAAGCCGTTTTTTTAAATAATGCACGGGTACACAATAATTACCGTATTTTCTGTAATAGTAGTGCAGGCTGGAGGGGGGTTGAAAAAATAGTAGTGCGCACTACTATTACAGAAAATACGGTAATAAAATACTTACCTGTATCATCAGCTTTTTATCATATCTAGTGGCTTCACTCAAGTTCACCTAAACACCATAAGCTCACAGCAATGCTTAAAAAGCAGGCCTGCTTAATTTTCACTCACTTTGCGCAACTTTCGAAACGTGCTCAAGTCCAATATAACCATAAAACATGAAAAGATCACCATCAGCAATTGATTCCATTTAGCCATTTGAGTGTTTTTTATCAAGCGATTTAGAAACAATGCATCCCAAGCAATATTTGCGAATCCAAGGAGATAGCCAACTCCTAACTGAAGAAATGGTCGTTTATTGACACTGTCAAAATAAAATCCATTAAAAACGAGACCCATAAAACGACTGTAAATGAAAAAAAAATATAAGATATGCAAACTGCTGGGATTCCCAGCCTGGGAAATCTCTACTATAAATTTCACCGATTATCCCTTCATTATGAGAAGATACTATTAGGATGGTGCAAAAGAAACTGCCGATTTGACGGTAAATTCAAAACAAAAGATGGCGTTCGATGGTGACATGATCACAATGGAATATTTTCGCAAGATCTCAAGCAGATTGGCATGGATCGGCCTGAATAACGTCCCTCAGCTTGGCTTCATTCACGACTTCTGTCCTCGAACCGTGCTCGTCATCTTCCAAAGTCTCGTCTCCCTCTCGGAATCGTTGAAACCAAGTCTGACACTGCCTGAGAGACAAACTGCCATCTCCGGAAGCAGCACAGAGAGAACGATGGGATACGGCAGCAGACTTTTCAATTTTGAAGTTAAACAGTAATGCTGCTCGTAGCACAAACTTTTGCTCGACCATGATCTACATAAAAAATATAAGCATTTTTAAATAAAATAAACAACAACCAAAAAATTCAAATGTCGAAATAAATAGAAGACAAATATGCGAACAAAACATAAAAAAAATAATGCCGTTAGCATCGCTCGTTTCTGATAAATGAGAGCTGATACCCATCGGCAGTTTCTTTTGCACCACCCTAATATAAGATTTCACTATAAGAAAATATTTATTTGCATAGAAGTAACAGACATGCAGACAACCAGGCCCGTGTGCCAAGGGTGGAAAAGGATGAGGCAAGAATGGGACAAGAATCGGGCAAAATATAGGTTTAACCTACTCAAAAATGAATTTCTCACAGAACATGCGTCTACGCACGATCTACGTCACGTCTACACACGATGTTTTATTACCACTCATAAACTAGACATAAAAATCACTATACTTCGTTTTTAAGTTTAAAAACACGACTATTCTTACTCAAAAATGCACCTTTTTTTTAGTGCCCTCAGTCCTTAAATACCCAAATCGCTGAGGGAGTGTAAAGGAAAAAGCTTATCCCTTCCTGGAAAATTTTCTCTACAAAAAACTCTACAATAAACTATAATAAATAAAATACCTTAAAGACATAATTAGTTGAAGATAAATATTGATTTTAATTAGATTTTTTCCATAGTTCAGAATAGCATCAAAGACACCATCGGTTGGACAGCTAAACATTTATTGTTTTCTTGGTTGCATTCGGTAGAAATACCGTAAAAACTCTAATAGAACGGGCGCCTATAGGAGCGTCACGTAGTCTAAGTTTACTCACAAACAAACGCTCATATCTTGACACCAGTACATTGGTTTCTGCGCGCTTGGGTATCAAATTAAAATAGAGAGGATGGGTGATTTTTTGAGATATAACACATATTTTTAACATTAACCAACGCTTAGAAAAAAATGATTGAAAATCGGTGAACATCGGCTCTTTTTTGCCACTTTTCAATAATTTTTTTTCTAAGCGCTGGTTAATGTTAAAAATAAGTGTTATATCTCAAAAAATGGCACTGTCAAGTGGTACTCCGTCCTTAGCCCCTTAGCCACTTTATATTATATTTTAGTTTATTTTGTAATCAATCTAGATGAAAGGCTAGTTAATCTTTAAAAGCGATTTTGATTTATTACAAATGTTTTGGTGCTCACTCATTTTTCATTTTAGACTGCCGTTGACGAGTCTTTGAAGAGGGTCCACGAGCAAAAGCTGAAAGAGCTGAAGATTGTCGCGGAGAAAGTGAATGGCACTGTCAAGTGGTACTCCGTCCTTAGCCACTACGGCTTCATTCGAATTGAAAAAGAAGACGTCTTTGTGCATCAGGTAACTTTAAATCTTTCTTTGTTCTATTTCAACCTTTCTTTTAGTCTTCGATCCTGGAATCCCGAACCAATCGACTGGGAAAGGATGGATGATTTTTTGAGATATAACACTTATTTTTAACATTAACCAGCGCTTAGAAAAAAAAGTGGCAAAAAAGAGCCGATGTTCACCGATTTTCAATCATTTTTTCTAAGCGCTGGTTAATGGTAAAAAGATCTGTTATATCTCAAAAAATCGCCCATCCTCTTTACTTTATTTTGATACTCAAGTGCGCAGAAACAAACGTACTGGTGTCAAGATCTGAGCGTTTGTTTGTGAGTAAACTTAGACTACGTGACGCTCCTATAGGGGCCCGTTCTATTAGAGTTTTTACGATAACGATTGTTTTGTTTTTATGGGAAACAACAGAAGCAACATGATAATTCTTTAAACTGTACTTCAAACTTCAAGAATATCGCGAATCAAGAATTTGTGACACTGTTACAAGTTGTAAAATCTTGCAAAAGTGTTTTCACCAAAAAATTTCGTGAAATGTTTGTTTGGTGAACCAAAATTTTGATTTCAGAACTTCTAAGCCTGTCGAAATCTACTTCAGAACTTCTAAGCCTTAAATCGCTTTCAAACTAAGAAATAAGCCCCTCGGGACTGAATTTTGTTGGGACTGAAGTCACGGTTTTTTTTGGTCCAACTGAATCGGACCGAACCGAATGCACATTTCTAATGTCTTTACATGCGGCCCAAATCGTTACAAAAATAATTAGCGAGTAGTATCACAGTGTAAAGCAATCGATTAATATTTTCACCCGTTAAGAAGCATCTAAAAGTTTTCGATGTTTTTCGGTCTTTATGGTCTTTAAATTAACCTTATCACAAGATATAATTTTGGATTTTTGAGCACAACCCAAATAGCAAATATATTGAGCACAACAGAAACACATAAAATCTAAAAAGAGTTATTCACTGTTATGCTTGTGCTTTTATGCTTGTGCTTTTATGCTTGTGCTTTTATGCTTGTGCTTTTATGCTTGTGCTTATATGCTTGTGCTTTTATGCTTGTGCTTATTAATTTATCAAGATTTAAAGTCAAAAAGAAAAGAAATAAAAAAGAAATATAGATTTTACCAGGCTTGTCACATAAGTCGAATAAAGATACACTTGCCAATAAGCATCGAAGCTGATTTCATATGGACGACTATAATTTGGGTTTGTGAAAGCATCGATTGAGCTTTGGATTACGAAATTTGTGCCCCAAACGTAAATGAAACAAGAAAACGCTGAAAATTATTGGGTATCTCTAAAAATCTATCTATGATTAAACAACTTGAAAGTATTGTCCCAACCACAGGAACCACCATCATTTCGGGGCAATCTGCCCAAAGCTTTTTGATTTGATTCATTGAAATGGAATGTCGTTTGTGGAAGTAAAGATAGAAAAATGTCGTTGACCTGAAAGATAAAAATCTTTTAACTGAAGTAAATTGTAACATTTGCCTCTGTTATAACATTTGCCACTTTTCGATTGAATTTTCAATTGAAAAATTGAAGGGGTAAACGGTTTTCGATACATTCCTCGATAGAAGTTTGGAAAAGTGGAAAGCGAATTAACGAATGAGTCAGAAGGTTTTACAAACTTTATGTTGAAAGAATTTTTGCTATCAAAATAGACACAGTAGTGAAGTGACGATTAATAAACCCATTTACTCAACTTTATTTACTTGTAGAACTGTGAGGGGAATAAGGGCAACTAGTCCCAAACTTTCTGCTTGACAAATTTTCAAAGAAATCATTTAAAACTATGATAAAGATTGGTGAGAGTTGAAATCACCTCTGCGGACATAGCTTTAAAGAAAGTTTCAAGAAATCCTGGTACTCGATTTGAGAAATGATTAACCAAATAGTAAATCTGAATATGAAAGCGGGATTTAAATTCAAACTGTTTTATGTTAGTTCGATGACACTAAAATCTGTAGTCTGTAGAGGGTAATCTGTAGAGAATTCCACAGTAAAAGATTATCACAATTGAATACCAAAAATCAGATATTTGATTGATATTTGCATAGAAAAGAAAGCGTTCATCCAAAAACTAAAAGTGAAAAACTTATTTTACGTTAAGTCAAAGACTAAATAAATTTTGGACACTTCTTCGTGGTTTAAATATCGTTTCAAAGTCAATTTCAAATTGACTGATGACTTTCAATTTGTCATGATTCTAATAACTGAAGAAATTAATGAAGAACACGAGATTCTTCATTAATTGGGAGTTGTAAACGACGTTCTTTGAAATTGCTTGATTGTTGGGTTACTCACGAGTGAATGGTCACCAGGGAATGGCCACGAGGGAATGCTCACAAGGGAATGGTCACGAGGGAATTTCCCCTGACGAGGAATTTCCCCATTTCCGAAAGTTGACAGTTAAAATCCATTTTCAGCCCCTGTCACAATAAAGGGTAAAAAAGATTTGCGCTCGTATCGAGAAAGATGAGCGGCACTGATTTCTGGCACGTTGCCATTTCCGGGTGTCCGTTAAGTCATGTGGAATGCAAGTCCCTGATACGGTTCAAACCCAAGTGCATGTATTATTGTATCTCTATGTAGCTCGAGTATTCTTGTATGATTAACTGACAACTCTTCTGCTATTTCGCGAAAGGAAAGCCTTTTGTTGGTTTGAAAATTTCCGAGCAACTTGGCATTCTCCCAGCTGGACTGCTGGGTGGCCCCTCTTTAAAGATTCATCCGCAGAACGGAATTTAACAAATCAGTTTTCACATCTCCATAATGGAGCTGATCCTTCCACCTAAACATTCTCAATATTAACTGAACACTAGAGGCCCTTGTGTTCTCGTAGAAATTCCTACAACATGACGTGTCGCAGATCTCCAAGTGGTAGATTTTCAATAGAACAACCCCTCTCCCCCATCTTTGTTTACATCTCTGAGATTTAATTTGAAAAAAAAACGTGCCAAGTCATATCCACAAACCCAATAAATGTAATTTTTATCTCTCACACGAATTGATACAAACCTTTAATAAAATATTAGCTCATATAAAAAAGTAGAACATTGAAACCGTTGGACCGACTATTGCTTAAAATTCTCATCAAACCATTTCCTTTTCGTTCTGATCTATCGCAAACAATAGCAAACAACATCTTTGTGCAGTCACCAATTTTATCAGTTTTGCTAAAAGGCTTTCACTTTAGTTTTCATCCATTTAGTCTCCCACCTCATGCCAATCTTTTTCCTTGTTTATTTTCACTCAAAAAGATCAGCTGGTCCTTTCTCTGGGAAAAGTGATGCTTACGGTCTTGAAAGTGATCTTTTTTAAAGTTCCTTCTCCCCCTTTTCACACATGAAACTCAATCTTGAGACAAACACGATCAACAACTTCAAAGCAACTATTCTGCTCAGGCTTAGGCTCATAAGAGAATTAGTAACATTCATGATTACATGAAATTTATTTAAATAAGAGGTCTAACAACTAAAAGAATTGTAAAAATTAAGTTGTTGCAGAAGTAAGCGTTGTTTTCATATTTAAATGAGTGCATGTAAAAAAATCTAATGATAAACATTTTATTTGCAATTTTTAAAGTTATCAACGATTTCCACAATTGCAGTTACAATTACACCCAGAACCACAAGTAGCAGTGCCATTTGAAAGGTTGCTTGGAGTGATTGATGGTGAAGAAACGGGTCCTAATAAAAAATTATTCGATAACACAAAATTTACCACTCTCTAAAAGTTACAGCAATAATAGTCAGAATTGATGAACTCACAACCAAGTGTCGGATCTTGTACATATGTTCGAACAACAGCTACAAGTTGGCAAGCTGAACGAGGAAATTTTTAGATGCTAATTTCCTCAAGTAATTGCTTACATGAGAGGACGTTCTAGTTGAAAACAATCATGATTTGTCTCTGCACCGATCCATACCGAGTACATATCACGAAACAGATGGATCGTTTTTTAGGGTTGGAAGCTTAAAAAATTGAAAAACTTGCTAATTTACAATCTCAAAACAAATGCTACTAACGCTATCGGCCCTACGGCGATGAAATCTTTCCCATCACTTCCAATTCTCAATCAAATATCTGGATCAAATATCTTAAAATTTAGTTAAGAGAAATCTTATGGAACATTGAATCTATTTCCACCGAATGTAGACTGTACATATTCCCATAAAAATTCAAATTATTTGACTAGCCAAAACTACTTTAAAACAAAATGCACAAGCAAAATGACGAGTGGCTGCGAAAGTCGTTTGTAAATATTTTAAAGACAAATGCGAATTCGAAATCCTTAATGACCAAATGATGTGACGATTCTCAAAACCCTTAATCAAACCAATGGTCATCGCATTCTTTGTCTCAAAAAATTCTCTTTGCGTGAAATCATTAGAAAAATAGTGACTTCATGTCAATTTTTAATACTTTGTCCCATTCTTTAATGGACGATTTGAAAAATTTTCACATCCATGACATCGCCAAATGTCGCGAAAACAAGCCTCCCTTGCCTTCAAACGCATGTATCTTTCGACAGGATTTACAAATTTTATGAGTCTGATTTATCCTCATTTTTTTATTGATAGCTTCCTCTTGAACACCTGTTTTTGGTCGTAGTTTTCAAGTAGTTTTCAACTTTATCTGACTGAACACTTTGCTGTTGAAATAACAATTTATGTTTAACACGTTAACAAATTACAAAAAAACATGCGCAAAATCAACAATACATTACATTAGTCCTTCTTGTTGGTTTGGACCGCATCTCCTCCAGCAACAGCACCGTTGGCGTCTTCCTTTGAGGTCGAGGAGTCGTTGCCGGTCTCGTCTCCCTCCGTGCGGCGGCGGCGGCGACCCGAACCAACAACCTAAATTGAAAAAATAGAATCAGCCTGATAACAGACAATCAGCAGTTTATCGCCAAGAGCTACCTTGTCCTTTTGGTTGCGTCTGTTGCGTCGAGCGCTGTTGTTTCGGCGTCTAGGCTTCTTCTCGTCCTTGTTGTCACCGCTGGCTTCATTGTTCTTCTTGCTGCGAACACCGTTGTTATCGTTGCGCTTGTCGGAACGATTGCCTGGCTTCTTTTGATCCTTTCCCCGAAGCGAACCGCGATGTTCAAAGAATGCGCTAAAATAAAAAGATTTAAGTGCTTGATAATAAAAGGAACTTTCGGAGCCAAGGCATTTGCAACCATTGGAAGCGGGATCCAATAACAGGCGTTCCATCTGGTCCGGTAACGTTCACAGCTTCGCGTCCCTTTTCTCCCTCAACAATGTCGAATTGCACCTTCTCTCCATTGTCCAATGTTCGCAACGAAAGTCGATTGGTTCGGGATTCCAGGATCGAAGACTAAAAGAAAGGTTGAAATAGAACAAAGAAATATTTCAAGTTACCTGATGCACAAAGACGTCTTCTTTGTCATCAATTCCAATGAAGCCGTAGTGGCTAAGGACGGAGTACCACTTGACAGTGCCATTCACTTTCTCCGCGATAATCTTCAGCTCTTTCAGCTTTTGCTCGTGGACCCTCTTCAAAGATTCGTCAACGGCAGTCTAAAATGAAAAATGAGTGAGCACCAAAACATTTGTAATAAATCAAAACCGCTTTTAAAGATTAACTAGCCTTACATCTAGATTAGTTACAAAATAAACAAAAATATAATATAAATACGCAATAAGCTTTGCTTTAAAGCACGCTATAGTTGTATTAACCCGTTTCATCAATTAGATCAATTCTACCTGAAAATTCAAAGGCCAAGAAAGAAAACAGACCTTATCGAAGCGTCGGGCCTTTCGGGTGTCGAGCTTCAGCTTCTCGAGGTCGCCTTCAACTTGTTGCATAGCTTCCATTGAGTCGGTTGCCATTCCTGTAAAAAAGAATGAACAAACGTGCGAAGTTATTAAGGGTTTAAAAAGAAACGAATGAAAAGTATAAATTAGAGGGCGCTATTTCCAACCGCACTAGAGACGGACTTAAAGTGTATTGGCATCGAAGGGGATCCGGACGTGGCTATTGAAACGTGCTTAAAGCCAGCTCACGAAAAATTCTCTACAGATCACAACCGAAATTAATTAGAGTAGTTAAAAAAAACTAGCTTCAAAAAATATCCGCACGCAATAAGGAAATGAAAATGTTTCGTCTTTCTGCATGAAAATGTTTCGTCTTTATATCGGAAGTACTGTAGAATGAGACGCCGCCAATTTTTAGTGTTTTTTTAAAAATCTCATTTTCTTTGTTTGTAGTTTGGGGAGTGGGACAAATGCGACCTTTTTTTTGCGCACCCGGACATTTGCGCACCTTTTTTTCCGCACCTTGCCCATTAGCGCACCTTTTTTCGCGTTTTAAAAAAGCTCTAAAAAGCTAATATTAACCAATTTCTATTCCAAATGTCGTTTTTCTAGGTAATTTAAGGGTGTCGAATTCAAATTTTGACATAACAGAGCGTGTGGAACCAATTTGAAAGAGAAAACGGCTAGATCAAATTACAGAAAATTGTCGATTTTTCTCTTTGTATAACTCCGTCCGTTTGTTTCCACAAGCTCTGATATGTCAAAATTTCGATTCTACGCCCTAAAATTACCTAGAAAAACAACATTTGGAATAGAAATTGGTTAATATTAGCTTTTTAGAGCTTTTTTAAAACGCGAAAAAAGGTGCGCTAATGGGCAAGATGCGGAAAAAAAGGTGCGCAAATGTCCGGGTGCGCAAAAAAAAGGTCGCATTTGTCCCACTCCCGTAGTTTGTCTCTCACCTCAACCCATGAATTTTTCTCTTTATAAAATTTTGCGAAATCTCACTTTTTCCAGTAGCTGTACTCATCATGATGTTAACAAACTTTAAAAATTTCCTTTTGAGTGTAGGGACGTAAAAGGCTCTATAGAATCTATGGTTTGTGATCATGAAGGTCTATAATTTCTTTCTATACAAAGTGGCTTTTAAGAGATTCCGAAAAGCTTGTTTTAAGGATTTTATGGGCTTCTAAACACAGTTAGTCAAAATGACGAGAGATTCGATTCGTTGTTTGAACCATTTTTTCTCTTTACAGCTGATGATATAACTTTTAGAGGGACAGAGAAATGATCGACAACATTGAAGCGTTTGTCAAAAAACAAAACCATGTGCTTAAACGAAAAAATGAAATTCGATTTGAAAAGGAGCCGAAAATGACGATGTGAAGAGGTTGAATGTTTTTTCGAAAAGCCTGACATGGACCGGGGTGGATCTTGGTTTATTATTGGCTTTTCGAAGGTCTCTGAAACATAAATAACGAAGAGTTATCGAAAATCGGCTTCTTTGCTCTGGACGGGATGTAAACAATGGCATCTTTAGCAAATTATGACTCTAATCAAAACTTTAAAACAACGACTTTGAGCTGAATGGATAAACGCAAAAAATATGGGCAAATCCATTTAAAACTAGCGTGGGGGAAGGCTGTCTAAAGGCAGTTTTGGGGAAAGTTCCCACTTTCTCTTTAATAATAAAAACCAAATGTATAATTTGAAAAACTTTGCTTTACCAAAAGTTTACTTTATCAAAAGTTTACTTTACCAAAACTTTGCTCTTTATTTTCTTGAAAACCCTTTATGCCCGAAAAATTTTCAGATTATCACAGAAAATGTTCAATTCAAGGTTGGCGACAAAATTGACGCTACGCTTTGTGATTTGCTCAATCGTTTGAAAGAAAATAAAGAAATCAAAGGCGGTGATCTTGAGTGAAACGGAAAGAGTAGACAGAGAGAAGAGGAAAAGGCATTGTTTTATGGCTGCAAATAGGGATAATAAACATTTCATTTATTTAACAATTTTGACAAATTCTCAAGAACTCAAAGGATAATTAAATGCAAGTACTACTTGACAAGAAGCTAATCAGTAGGATTCGAACTCTTTCCCGTTACCCGATTTCGTAGTTCACTATATATTAGCATTTCTTGAAACGATCTGGCGCTTGCCACGAGGGTCTCTGCCTTTTCTGGAGTGTCGGGGTAGTTTTCAAGAAGGAAGTCCAACTTATTGGCTTCTCGAGCGACGGTACTTCCAATATCTGAAAATGAGTTCAGTCTTTTTCTCTGTTGAAGGCTCTCTTGATCTAAATGTTCTTGCATTTCCTTGGCGCATTCCGTCATATCAGCCGTAAGCTCAACATGTTTCGAGTCTCCCTGATCTGCGAAAGCGAGCCTGGTGATAGCGGAGAATTTGTCAAGATGAGCCTGATAATCTGGATCATCTACACCCTTATTGTCAGAATTTTGACGTTTTACCGTCAACGAGTTATTAAATTTTTGAATGACTCTTTCCAAGTCTATTGCGTAGAGATTTTCATCAATAAACCGTTCGGGCGGGATCTGAAACTCAAACAGACTGTAGTCGAGACCCATACAAAGCACTCTTTCAGCGATTAGCCCACTTTCACCATCGGGTGTCGATTTTTCGATATTTTTCGGCATTTCAAGTACGATAAATTCGCCATGATGTTTCGTGGGGATTTTATAAACCAAAAGGTATCTCGGGCAAGAAGGTGGCTCAGGCAAAGGTTTTACTTGGAGATTGATATTAGTTTTTTGTAAACGTTTGCTGATCAAAGAAGAAAGAATATCGTAAAAAGTCACATATATTTGCATATAATCAAGCATTGGCTTTGTTGTGCATTCATATATGGGAAGCTGGATACTCTCCGACACTTCTAACGGATATCCACCCTTTCGTGGACATTTTGGTAGACATTGGCATTCATGCCTAGGCGGATCGTTAAGCGAGAAGATGTAACCGGGAAAGGGTAAATCTTGACCACGAGTCCAGGAAGAATACCGCTTGAACATCAGATTCTGTGGGTTAAGTCCTCTGCATTGCATTTGCAAAGACGTCTCCAATTTGGCTTTTAGTCGATGAGCAAATGCAATGATCATGTCCATCTCGATGGGCTCCAAGCACAAGTAAAACAACTTCTCAGCGGGTGCATATCTTATAGCTCTACCTTTATCGTAGATCACAAATGTATCTTTATCAGAGCCTGGCCAGTAGCCTTGCCAACTGCGGAAACCTGATAAATCGCGACGAATAAAGAAGTGATTTCCGATTTGTTCGCCCAAATAAAACCATTCATCGTTTGTGGAAGCCTCCAAAAAACGTTTAAAATAAAATCTGGGATTTGGATAGTTTATCACAGTTTTCAATATTTGAATCCAAATCTCAACTTTAAAAAGCAACGACCAGCAGCATGGATGAGAATTTTTCATTACCTCCAAGGCCTCAAATGCTTTGAAGCAAAAATATAATAGGTTGGCCTGCTGAAGTTTCAGTTGTTCGATTACATATTCGTGCAGCCAATTTTCCGGCAAATCTCCTGGAGACTCCCATTTGGAAATGATCGAACCGAAATGAGATTCTTTTCTCTGGTACATCGAGGAGTGATGAATCTCGAAAATCAATATCTCATCGGCTTTCGTTTTGATTGTTTCCGATATGATCCTCATATTTGCTTTCATCTCTTTCATGGGCTTGAGTCGCAAAAAAACCGTTAAAGCGCCAGCCAGTTGATCGTTCTCCTCCAGAAATCGCCTCAAAAACGGGAATTCGTCGATGGTTTTGTTGAAACCCGGTGGATACTCGTCGTCTCTTTCATGGCTCAGAAAAAATTCACTGATAGATTTTTCGCAATTTTCCACACATTCCTTGGTTATTTTGTCTAATATATTGTTGATTTCAGTGTCATCATGGCCAGAAGAACCAAATTTTTTCATCAACTCTTCACACAAAATTTCTTCCGCTAGATCATCTTCGTTGTCGTTCTCAGACGAATCATTGGCTACAGCACTTTCAAACCCTTCGACTCCCACCGGAAATGTAATGTCAGGCACAAGAGTTGATGAAAGTCCGCACAAGTCTGCTTGAGTCAAGTTGATTGGTATTTTCTGTGCACTTCCGTCAAAACCGATCGGTTTAAGAAGCTCTTTTTGGTCGTGACTGATGACCGGTCTTGAATAGTAGTTAACTGGTACGGTGAGTAATAACTAAAAAAGCAAAAATGAAAAGGTGTTCCCATCAAAACTCCCACCTTGTTGCAAGAGCTTAAAGCTGTTGTTGCATCGAGCCGTTGAGATGGATCAGCTCGGGTGCAACTGAATTCAATTTTTGCATGACAAAAATTTGTATGCCTACCCATAAACAATTTGCTGAAAGTCTTCAAGGCATTCCAAGGGATTGGTGTCCTCTAGATTTCTCTGAAAAGCTTCTTCGGCAATGGATCCAAGGTGATTTTCAAACAGTTCCGAAAAGACTCGCCTGAAATATTTACGTTTATTATAATAGTGAGAACGTATTGAATTTTCATTATGGTTCTCCTCATTTTAGTTATCTTCATTACTTTTAACGTCTTATTATCAGTTTTTTTAGTTTAGTTTTGGCTTTGGATCGTTTTCGTTTTGACGTTTTGGCACGATTTGGCTTTGGAACATTGAAGCTAAGCCAAATCCTTTTATTAGTTTGAGTACTAATTCTTAATAACACTTATATGTTTTTATTTTTAGAAATAACTAATTTATAAAATAATCTAATGTAAAGGTCTATTGATTTTCTAAACGCAACTTTTGAGAAATTTGGAAAAGCTCTGGTTTTAGAGGTTTTATGGTGGAAAGAAGTTGAGGGAGCGGAAAAAGTGAATGCTCGACAAAGCGATTTGAGCTCTTTTTTTCCACAGAAACCTATTTTGATGTCAATAGAAAAAAGATAGATCGTAAAAAGTCCGGCATATAACCGAATTCTCAGCTCGATTTCTCTAATTGCTTTAGTTATATGTCTGTTTGAAGGATTTTCAGAAAAAGCACGAACATCTGCGCAAATTCGTTTAGATTCGCATTTGGCTCCCATTCGGTTCCTATTCGGTTCTCATTGGGTTCCTATTTGATCCCCATTTGATTCGATTCGGTTCCTATTCTTATTAAGTTCCCATTCGGTTCACTTTCGTTCCCTGTTCGGTTCTCAATTGGTTCCTATTAGGTCCCCATTCGGTTACCACTCGATTCCCATTCGGTTCTTACTCGGTTCCTGTTGGGTTCCCATTCGCTTTCTATTCAGTTCCTATTAGGTCTCCATTTGATTCGATTCGGTTCTCATTTGGTTCCTATTAGGTCCCTCTTCGATTCCCATTCGGTTCCTATTCGGTTCCTATTCGGTTCACTTTCGGTTCCTATTAGGTTCCGATTCGATTCGATTCCTATATTTAAATTTGCTTCAAAAGATCGCAAATTAAACTATAAACAACTTTTATTTGAGGAAAATTCTAGTTGTATTGGTGCTTTAATTATTTATAAAGCAAAAACTGAATAGGCGTTATCAAGAATTTGTGCGCAAGCTAATAATAGTCAAGTCTACCATAAATGAAATTTAAATTCTGTTCTTTTTATTTCTAGAATTTCGATGCAAACACCATCGAAACGGTATATTCATTTGATCACCTCCTTTCGATCATTTCCCAGCAAACCAGCCCGCCAGCATAGCAATCGCTTTTGCAAGAAATCTAAATTCGAAAATTCATCAGCCATCTTAACATTGAAATTACTCAAGTGGTACTAGCGAGGATTAGATTAGATCTAGATCGGCTCAAATCTAAAACGCACGATTTTTTTTGTCCTATATTCAGGGCTCAAATAGCGCCACGTGCCCATGGCCGCCATATTTTGAGAGGATGTTGACATCTCTCTCATCGTCCCAAAATCTCCCAATTTTAGCACAAAATCTCTTGTGAGGAAGAGGCTAAATTATCATCTCAACTTGAGCCTCAAAAAAATTCCGACAAGGCGACCAACTTATCACTTTTCACATCGTGATGCACTTTCTCATTCTTCTGCAAATGGGTGAGTGCAGAAAAGAGTTGCGCGGCCCAGGCAATCGCCGTTTGCATCGAGTAAATCACAGTTTTTTTGAAAATCACTAAAGGATAAATTCAATTCAATGAGAAAGTGGAAACGTGACTCACATTTATCCAATGAGCCGTTCTCGCAAAACTCCATGAGAATCCCGATTTTTCCCCTCACTTTACGACAGCCCCAATATTCCACAATATTCGGATGTCGCAGTGTGGATAAAGCATCGCATTCTCTTTGTAACATGTTCTTTCGATCTTCCACCTCTGTATGGTAGACTTTGAAAGCAGCCGGTCTGGAATTAATTAGTGGCCGGTTTAATTAGTGAGCGATGTTTACGTTCGGCTCAGCGTCCGTTTAACATTCGCAGACTATTGGGGTTTTCCCAAAGCATTTGCTATTCATTTACATAGATCACATTACTTAGCTGCCCATTTTTATTTTCAATTTTTGTGCCCTGGCAATAAATTAAAAGTGCATGTGAGTGTATAATTTAACGTTATTTGATGAAAAAAGAGAAAGAAAATAAACGCTACTTGGTTCTTTTGGTTCATTGTTAACAACAAAAATAGCCTCTTGCTTTTACGTTTGCCGTTTGTCGACGTTTGTCGACGTTTTAACGTGCTCATGACGTTTGCCCTGGTCGTACACAAATTTACACACAAATTTACAATAAATTTACGTTCATATTGTCGAACATGGCCAGTGTAATCGCCAAATACCATTGTAAATGAAAAACGGGCGTGTCAAGAAATTTAGCAAAAAAGGAATAGATAAGAACGCAAAGAAACTCACCGTTCAGGGTCTTTGATTAAAAATGTATCCCCGTAGCTGCCTTGGCCGATCAATTCTGGTTCTTCTGGCAGCGTTCCTGGCAACATCTTTGAAACAGGGTGAACGAGAATAGTAGCCTCAAATAGCATGCGTTTCAGTGAAGCTCAAGATCTCTACAGCCCTTCTTAAGCTATTTTTCTATTGGGACTTCAACGCCCACCCAACATTTCTGAGCTTGGCATCAGTCTTACAATAATCTCTATGGGTTTCTAGCATGATTACGCATTTGGGAGCAATATGAAAGCTGCAAGAAGAATCATTAGCAGTACCAAGGGTCCCTAGTTGAAGCAATGCAACAGCACTTAAAACATACTGAAACTACTCACTTGCCTGACTTTTAAATGTTTGATGTCAAAGAAAGGTTAGAACCGTGATACTCTATGTATTGGAAAAGACAAAGTGAATACCTCTCTTAAAATGACACAATTCTTATCACGACCCCCCGTCGCCTAAGCAGAAAAAAGACGTATCTTGGCTATCTTTGCTCTCCCTCTTAAGCCTAGATGGTTTATCAAAAATAGAAAAAGTTGTGAAACAGAAAAGTGAAACAGAAAATGTTAAATTTGTACAAAAGTTAAAGTTCTTTTTTTAATCCAATCACAAAATGTGACAAAAAGCACACAAAATTTCCGACACATTTCCGTAGTTCATGACCAATTATTGTTCTGTTCCTGAAACGTTCCTTAAATAGAAATATGATCGTTTTCGAAATATGATCAGAAATATGATCAGAATAACGATGTTTGAGCGGAAAAGGAAGAAAAAGGTGTAAGTGTTACTAAAATAGAGCCATCTCGCATAATCAACAGATCAAAAGTTGAGGATGAAAGGTGTGCTGAGTGAGGTATGAAATCAATTTTGACCACTGTTGACAAAGTTGCCTATAAAAGTCTTTCATTTGTCAGTTGAATCAATTTGTGTTGAGGAATGTTGTCCATCATCATCTCTTCTCTTCTCATTCAACAGGTGGTATTAAGAAATTTAATACTGAGAAGCGACCGTTTAATACGATGATTAATCAGATCGCGTGTTACACTTTTTAGAAAATTTAACCTTGATAGTTGATCGGATAAAGTTCACATTTGCAAAATACAAAAACATTAATGATTAGCACATTTGACAAGTTTTTGGACATCATTTCTTTCTCGCGATCGTCGATACAGAAGCCTTTTGCTAACCAAATCAGACAACTGAAATATTAGATTGAAAATAAGTTTCTATTTCTATTTCAGCTCGGCTAAAAATTGAAGCATTAAGAAAGAAACAACTGTTTCAACTTGACAAATACTGACTCTGTGGAAATGACTCAGATTTTAGTCGAGTCCCCAGTTATTTTGTGTAAAAGAAAAAAGAGATTGAGATAACGACTTCGGAAAGGAAGACAAGCATTTAAAAATTCTTGTACCCGTCTCGCTTTCCATTTTAATTTTCTTTTCTGCCCAGACTTTCAGCATTTTCCCGCGTAAATTGCATTCTCATAAATTGATTGTCACAAATTGTCATTTCTTTTGTTTTTTAGATTCAACTTTATGTAGTTGTTGAAATATAAAAGCATAAAATTTCGAGAAGAAACTGTTTATACAGCTTCGAGAAATTATGATTTGAAAAAAGGCTTTTTGTCCAAACTGATGCTTTGATCCTCTTACAAAGACATTTCGTATGCTTTAGGGATGAATCTATTTGATCCAATCCCCGACATTTTTGCACTTTTCGAGAAATTTGACAAGCTATTCTTTGAGGGCCAGCTCGCTTGCGGTAAAATAGAATGGAGTCCTCGAATGACAGTGTAAGTTCTCGATTTTTAAGTTTTTGGAATTTCCATGCTAATCTATTTACAAAATTACTTGCTGCTTACTTGTTAGCAAATCATATTTCACAACACAAGGGGTCTAAACCACTGTGCTGGAATTTTAGATCTGCTGGAATTTGTTATTTCGATAAAAGTGAAGGACCTTTTTTGATTCGGCTCAGTAAGCCCTTATTAAAAGATCGGCCACGAAAAGACATTGAAGAAACTATGCTGGTAAGATGGGGTAGCTCAACAACACTGAACTTTTTTTAGCACGAAATGATTCATGCTTATCTCTTCGTGACTAAGGGGTTTTCGATTCGAAACGGTGTTGATGGACATGGGCCGATGTTTCAGGTTTGTTTTTGTAGCATGATTCTTTGTCGAACTGAATCATTTTTATTTTCAGGAGCATATGCGTCGAATTAATATTGAAGCGGGTACGGATATAACGATTTATCATTCTTTTTATGCCGAAGTCGACAGTTACAAACAGCATTGGTGGAGGTTTACTTTTGTTTATATGTCTAATCGTTGAAATTCAAGATGCAATGGCCCATGTCGGCAACGACTTCCTTATCTTGGACTTTTGCGGAGATCTAGAAACAGGTTGCTTTGAAGTTTCAATGAATCAATTATGATAAAATTTAGGACACCTGGACCAAATGATTTTTGGTGGCGCGATCATGAGGAAAAGTGTGGCGGTTGTTATATTTTATAACAATTTGAATCTTAACTTATTCGTTGCAGGTACTTACGAGAAAATAAAAGAACCCGAAGGATACGAAGACAAAAAAAAGAAAACAGATGTAAACTTTAAAATATCAATGAGCATAGTTAACGTTTTAGAAGCATCCCGTCTCAAAAAAATCTGCTTTGGAAAACTACTTTGCACCTTCATCAACTACAAGTCGATCTGAGAAAATAAAGAAACCAGACACAAACAATGCAACTGTAAGTTACTAGCTCTGACCATTGTCAGATTTCGCAAGCGCAAATTCGAACCAAAGCTTTATGAGTTACGCAAGCCGGACACGGACAACACAATGGTGTTTTTAGCTTTTGCCCAAACGCCCTAGATGTCTGTAAAAGCGCATTTGAGATTTGACCCCCTAGTGCATTGAGTGACTTATGAGTTTGTAAGGGCTACCATCGCTCACCAAAAAGTGACCCGGTAGTGCAGTGGTAGTGCCGGTGTCTCCCTTTTGCCGCTGCCTCCGAGTTCGATCCCACTTAAATCTTTTTTATTTTAATTCTTTGAGCAGTAAAGTTGTATTTTGAGTAGTTTGGCGTATCTTTAGTCTCGATTGCATTCTTTCGCAAAAAAGACTTTGTATTTCTATTGTCACAATACCCTACGAAAGATCAGGAAAGTGCGAGGGATAGAGTTTGCAAGGGCAAAAACTAAAAACGCCATTGTGTTGTCCGTGTCCGACTGGCGTAAATCATATCCCGTATTTACTCGAATAGAAGACCGGCCTCGATTATAAGACCGTCTCGAATAGAAGACGGGGTCTAGGGGGTGATTGAAAAAAATAGAGGACCGGTCTTCTATTCGAGTAAATACGGTAGCTTTGGTTCGGATTCGCGCTTGCGAAATCTGACCGTTCCCTAGTAAGACCTACTAGGCCATACTAGGCATGGCTTTCGGGTCAGATCAAGTCGGAGTGAACACAAAGTAAACTCAAGACTCAGATCGTACTCGACCCAACTGATCTGATCCGATCCGAAATCATAGTATACAGTGTATACCCGGAGAGTCATACACTATATAGTAAATGGTTTAAGATCGGATCAGATGCGTCCGATGGGCTTGTTCCGTCGAATCGGATCCGAAAAGTTGCATCCGATTGGTTTGATTCGGACGATCGGATCAGAAAACCATGTCTAATGTATATGCTGTTAGCATTTTAGAAGAGTCCGGCCCTTAAAATGCAAACTCTGGACACCTATTTTCGTAAGAAAGAAAATGAGGAGCACGTCACAAAGGTTATCCACTTGTAATACAACTGCGAATATTTACAATTAGGCACGAAAACGAAATTATGGCGGTTCGACTCTTGCATCAGAAGGACCAAGTAAAAAGAAGTGCGAGAAAATTGAGGAGCCTGATGGTTTGCGAAAATAGTCAAATTTTTATTATACTATGTAAAGTTTAGCAAATTTCACAGGAGAACCCGTTACCGTTTCGTTCGATTCAACGTCTTGCTTCAGTTCGTTCAACAGTTTTGCGAAATTTTGATTTGTTAACTTTCAGAACTTATGGACAAAAATCGGCCTCGAAGAGAGTTCTTATCGCATTTGTTCAAAGTGGCCACGATCATTGAGTTGAAAGAGAAGACATTTCAAGAAAATAGCACAAACAATGAAGGGATAATTCCTCGCAAAAGATCAAAGAGCCTCTCCGAAGTCGGGGATCGCTTTGAAAACAAAAACAAGAAAATCAAGAACGGAGAGCGTCAATTTTTGGATGTGACAAACAAACTTACTGAAAATTACATCAGTTTCATTGTGTTTTTTTTCGAAGATGGCAAACTTTTGAGCAGTTTTGATGAAATAAGAAATATGATAAGAAAGATGAAAGAGAAAGAAGAGATGAAAGAGAAAGAAGAGATGAAAGAGATGAAAGAGAAAGAAGCTCTATTAAAGCGAATGATGCGAGAATTTGTAATGGAAAGGGGAAGAATTGAAGGTAATGAAATGGATCCGAGTTTTCTGACTTATTTTGAGAGAAAAGAGAAGGGATTAATCGTTTTCAAAGAATCTCTTGACCAATGTGCAACCAATGAACAATTGATAGAGGAAATGAGAACTCACTTGAAGATCGGCTCTCTCCATTCGAACAATCATCTCGAGTTAGCAGCCCATATAACTGGACTGCAAGTTCAGTGCTTTGGTGGAGGAACGGACGAAAATACTTGGAATCTCACAAAGGTTTTCAATTCAAAAGCTAGAAAAATTTTAAGACTCGGTTTCTATGAGGATGGCGATGTCTTGGAATTGAAAGAAAACGTGAAATTTGATGAATTGGAAAAGAAGAGAGCCGAGCGGGGATGTATATATGAATCCGTGCTCGCTGAGCTGTTTCGTTCCACACCCAAACAACTCGAAGGTTATTCCCCAAAAAAGCTCTTCCTAGACTTGAAACCATTAAATATCGATTCATTTAAAGCATTTGATTGGTCGATTGATACTAAAGAAACAATTATTGGGATTGAAATGACGCAGAACGCAGAGATTAAAAAGCAGGAATTCAAAAAATTTAAAAGATTCGAATTGGATGGAGAAACGCGGCTTTTGAATGCGATTCTCGATCGACTTCGGGTCGATGGAGGATGGAGGATCCCTCTAAAAGAATTCCAGATTTTGCGCTACACAATCTCCGAAACGAAACTAAATTCAAAATATTTTGTCGAATTGATTCTTTGGATGCTTGTCGCAAAGAAACAAGAGCTTTGGTTGGCCGAATGCTGCATTTTGAGCATGGAAAATCATTTACAGAGCGTTCTCCCCGAAAAGATTCTTTCAAAGTTACGAAACATTACAAACAAGGAATTTTTAGTGCTCATGTTTTATAGATTTTTTGGAAAGGGATTGGAAATTGAGGAATGGGAAAAGATTCTAGAGCTGGTAGATGAGGATACGGATGTGTCGGGATTGAAAGAGCTAGAAACGAGAGAATGGTTTCACTTCTTGGGAAACAGCAACTTATCAAAGAGACTGAAAGAGTTGATTGAGTCGGAGAACGAAGGAATGGAAGAGGCTACTGAATCTCTCAAATTTCTCGATTATCCCCATACAACGATGCTAGAACTTTTTGATATTTTTGGAGACAATCGAGAAAAAATAGATCAATCCACAATTCTGCAAATCCTCAAAAATCTTGCCAGCGGGAAATTCCTTGTTAATGACGAATTTTTTGATGTGTTAAAGGGACCAGTTAGTGGGTGGATAGAAGGACTCGAAAATGAAGCAAAAAATGAAAGATCAGTCGAAGAGCTGATTGAGTTATACAAGAAAGAGCAACAAATACAAATAGAAAATGCTCATATAGACAAAGTGATTGAAATCATGAAGCTTGAAGAAGGAGAAAAGAACAGGGAGGAGCTCAAAGAATGGATTCAACATTCAAAGGATTGGCAAAGTTCAAAGTGGCTGGCTAAAGCTTTGTCCTATATTGACCAAACGATTCTGCTAATGAAAGAATTTCCCCTCCGAAGGGCACAGAAAATTCTTATCCTTTTCGCGTTGTTTCCTGATTGTAAGTCGCCAAAAATACTTCCGAAAGATGGGAGATCCTTGATTGTTGCATCTTTAGGAATCATTCAAGTTTTGCAGGGAAAGAAAGTCAATTTGGTAACCAACTCGTCGACTATCGCCAAAAGAGAAACTCAAATACATCGAGATCTTTTTAAAGAGTTTAACATTTTTGTTGACGATCCAAATAGTGAACTTAACTACAAAGAAAGTGAGAGATGTTGGTGGGAGATATTAGCGGATCTTTCCAATGATTCCAATGATTATTGGGAAGAAACAGAAGGAGGGCTCGACAATTTGGACAAATATATTTTCCTTGGGCTCGACAATATGGACACATTTCTCAAGTTGGACAATATGGACATATTTCTTGAACTTAAACACTATGCCAGAAAAAAAAAAGAAAAAAAAAAGAAAAAAAGAAAAGTAGAAGCGAAGCAGGAGGTGAAAAGCGAAAAGAAATGTCAACGCAATGAGCATTTTGATTTCGATTTTCGATCAACAGGCCCAATTACAAAGGAAAAAACTGTAGATCAACTAAAGCGTGCTTGGCAAAAGGCTGTGGAACAGTTGAAACATCTCATGAATTGTTGGATAAACAACGCATCGCAAGATCTTCAACTGCAAAAAGATTTTGAAAAAGGAATAATAATAAACGCAAAAAATCAACTTATCAAATGGATGGAATTGGAGAATGCGGAAAACTGGTCAACGCATGTTGAATTGAATGATGGAGACTTTTGTGCAACAGAGTGGCATAGTCAAAACAAATCAATTGGTGTAGATAGATGGGAGTATGTCACAGAGTACATGGCATCCGTAACGTGGGCATCATGGAAGATGCACGATCAATGGGAATTCTATCTCGAAATCAACATTGATAATCCGGATCCGGCGAATCTCGATAATGGTCCTCCTCATCCGCATGTTGGATATGGATTCAAGGTGAACACAACGCGAGAGATAAAAGGACATATCTTGATTGGCCCAAAGAATGAGATGGACAACAATTTACACAATAATAAACTAAGACGGGCGCCGATACGAACACGTAAAGAAGTTAAAACATTAGAGCAGATAGGCGATGGGACACGGGTGATGAGTTCTAATTGGATTAGCATCGGTAATTTCAATGTGACAATGAAAGGGGCGGACCAATATAACATGTCTCCTTATTAGATGTACCGTAAATGCTGTATTACAACGTCCCCTCTAATAGAGCGGGCCACATCCGCGCGAAAATCGATTTCTATAGGATTTCGGTGCATAACATATCGATATAACGTATAACATAACATACCAATCGACGCAGAATCTCATCCTAAATCCAAATCTGCAAGAATTTTTGAGATCCGTTTAACCGAAAAATTTTTATGCCGATTTTACAATTTTCCCGTTATAAATTTCGGTCGTTTTTCAGTACGAGCCCTATATTCTCATTGCGGGACGAAATATCAAAAATCGGGCCGACGATTATTGTTCTCTGATGTTTTGCGCGTGTTTTGAAGCCAAAAGCATGAAATTTGGTTTAGCCCAAAAAAAACTAGTATCACTTTTAATGCGAGAAAGCAGTCTTCAACAAGTTCCATTCTAAAGCGTATTTAAGTATACTTTAAATTAATCCTTTTATATATAAAAAGTTAGAGCAAAGAATTTTGCAAATTCTGTTTTTCTAACTTTTTATTTGAAAGTTACGGTAAAATGTCCACGCTTTAGAATGGAACTTGCTGAAAACTGCTTTCTCGCATTAAAAGTGATACTAGTTTTTTTTTGGGTTGAACCAAATTTCATGCTTTTGGCTTCAAAACACGCGCAAAACATCAGAGAACAATAATCGTCGGCCCGATTTTTGATATTTCGTCCCGCAATGAGAATATAGGGCTCGTACTGAAAAACGACCGAAATTTATAACGGGAAAATTGTAAAATCGGCATAAAAATTTTTCGGTTAAACGGATCTCAAAAATTCTTGCAGATTTGGATTTAGGATGAGATTCTGCGTCGATTGGTATGTTATACACCGGAATCCTATAGAAATCGGTTTTTTTGCCTTATTTCGCGACGATTTGCGGACCCCTGGAGGGGTATTGAAAAATAGAATGGCCGACCGTTCTAATACAGCATTTACGGTAAATGTGGTTATATTAATTGAATTCTGTTGTGATATTCTCTTCCTTTGTTCTGTTCTAAGTTTGCGTCAACTTTTAAAGTTTATTGTGAAAGTTGATAAAACGATTTAGTAAATCTTGAGTAAATCTTGAATTGTAAACTCTAAAAATACCTCACGCTTTTTTGACGTCAAAACGGATGTGTGTAAAGAGTTTTGTTGTTAGTGTTTAAACTTTGTCAAGAATAATTCGAATAAATAACAAATGTATAAACTATGATTTATATTTTCGATTTACATCTTTGATTTCTGAAGAATAAAGTTTTCTCACGTCTCCAGACCGTTAAATCATCTTTTTCGAAGATAAGCCTCCCAGTCACCGATGCTAACATTCATCTTTTGGTGCATCTCTGGGCACAGATTAGGCCCGTGCCAAGGGGGGAGGGAAGCAAAGGGGAGACAATAGTGGAGCAGATCTGGTCCGTACCGAAGGGGGAAGTGAGACAAGAGTGAACAGAACAAGCCCGTATTGAGGTGAGGGGGGAAGGAAGGGGGGACAAGAGTGGGGTAGAACAAGGGTGGGCAAGGGTTTGACCCTTCCAATTTTAGTTGATACGAATAACCTTCATTTCTAAATCCTTTCCGAATTCAATACTTTCGTTATCTTAAAGCAAATATTTCGCGTTTTTTTGTGAAAGAGAGCGAGAACAAGAAAGAGATAAAACGGTTTTTTTTCTCTTTTACGCGAAAGTACTGAGCACTTGACTAAAATCTGAGTCATTTCCACAGAGCCAGTATTTGTCAAGTTGAAAAAGTCGTTTCTTTCTGTTTTTTTGTGCTCAAATGTGTCCACTTGCATCTATGGATCTCCAGGAGTTGATCAAAGACGATAAATGGAGAGAGACGATGGTCGACGCGCAGTTCGCTTATCATGTTACTAATGTTGAACACACGGTTGGTTGAAAACACGGTTAGTTGCACACAAAGAAATAAAAGAAACATCATTATTCTTGAAGCTTCCTCTTCTGCACAATTAACATGTTTAAGCAAGTTTCTTTTGACAGAAATGCGATGAAAGTTAGCTTCGATTTCTAGGGTCCTTCCTCACACCCAAACTACTCGAAACTGGAGTGGAGTCTGGCGATGGATCCGGACTTTGATCGGAAGCTTGTCGGTCTTCCCTGTATTTTCTTTTCAACCACACTGTATAATACGGAACTTCCCAAGAGTGGCCCGTATCCACGCAAAGGAAAGTTAGGACACAAATATTGGAGAGTCAAAGTGCCGATGCATCGATTCAACGAGTATTCGATTTTCTACTGTCGAAATCCAAAAAATTACTTATACAATGGAGTTCGTCAGTATCAAGTGCGTTTGGTGTTGGTGAGAAATGAGGAGGCTGTCGAGTTGCTGAAAAATATTCCCGATATCGTCAAGCTGAATACGTTCAACAATCCGTTTCTCTGTTTGGATGGTGGGAGATGGAAAACGAATAATTATTGGAAGGTGACACGACCTGATATCAAATATTGGGTGAGTGGTAGCTGCAAAAATGCATAGGTATGTAGATTTTCCAACAGAGATGCTCAACACAGATGTTAAGTTCAAATGCCTCGTTTTGCGCTGTTTTAATATAGCCTCGAATGTATACCATTTGATAGCCCTAAATCTCTAGTTTCTTTTAGTATGGAAAGTAAAATGCAAACTTATCGTGATGACAAGAAATAAGCTATTACACGGTAGACTACACGACGCTCCTGTTGGAATATATGACCCGATTCTCCCTAATAGTAAAGACCTAAGCCTAAGCCATGAGCGTCGCCTAAATTTCTCGAAATCTCAAAAAGCGCTTATCAGAACCTATCGATGTGGGGTCGGAAAATGTAGCTGGCGATGAGATCTTGTGGGAGATTAGAGTGTTGAGCTAGGAAACCGTAAAATCGTCATCAACTCGGCTCGGCGCTGTGCAATACTATTAGGTATACGGTATCTGGTTAGCACTAAAGTAGACAAATGTGAGGCGACTTTACAAAGCTCAAAAAAAGCTATTTCAGGTGAACTTTGTTGTGCTCGGCGATTTTCAACTAGATGAATGTGAATGGGATGGATGTAAAAGAAACAATCAACAGGGAAGAGAATTGGACAGAGAAAATCAGGCTGATCAACTAATTGTGCAATGGGCTAATCATCAGAAATGGTCGGGAAATCAATGATAACAAAGCATCGGTTACAAAGTTACAAAAACACAGGATTTTTATTATCCTTTTTTTTACCATTTGATTACATTATGAAATGAAAGTTTCTCAAAAAAACTCTTTTTTCAAGCAAATTCAAGATTTTGAGCTGCTAAAACAATCAAAAAGCAGATCCGAAAAAAAGCAAAAAACAAAAAGCAGATTCGAATTCAGAAGTGCAACATTTTAAAGATTATTTTTATTCTGAAAGATCAAACTGAATGGCTATTCACTTCAACCATTTCACAAACTTTATTTATTGGGTGTCCAAGTTTTAAGAAAATTCTCGAAATCTCGAAATTCTTATTGAAATACGCAATCTTTGATTCATCAATTAAAAATCATTGCTCTCTCAACGTATATTGAGAGAAAGCGCGGCAAATCTCATTGTAAATTGTTATGAGCAAGTGAAAGAGTTCGCAGATTTTGAGGAAATTAGGAATGAAACCAAAGAAGATCGTTTCCTTTCAATGTTCTTTTATTTTTCATCAATTATCGGTGATATCGAGCAAAAGAATCGTGATTTCATTCATAAATTTTGCTTACTGCGCTCTCTTTCCGGATTCGTTTCTTTCAAAAACAGCTCTTGAATGGGAAATTTTTGGTTTCTGTATGATTGAAACGATGAAGCGAAATTCTTAAGACTTTCTGCCCACCGATTCTCCTCTTCATTTTTTTGATGAATTTTTAGATGGATCACTTTAAATAAAGTCTTAAGTCAGTTAATTATTTCTTTAAAAGATCTAAAAACTTTATGTCTATTATTCAAGTCTCATTTTCCAGTTTTTCAAAGTTTTTGAATAAAAATTTATTGTCAAGGACTACAAAAAAAACACAAAATCTAGTTCTTTAATGCATTTAAAAAGTGTCAAAATTGAAAAGATTTGAACGAATTTTAGTTTGCATTAAAAACGAATCGTTAATCAATAAGTACCTACCGTAAATACTGTAATAGTATCCCACCTCCCTCGTACAGTCGCGTAGTCGCAAAAGTTTTTTAGTATTTCATTTTTTGCGAAGCACCCGTACTTTCAAAAAATGCGTCTTTGGTATCAAAAAATAGCCCTGAATTTCAGCTATTTTTTTGATAACTAAGCGCGCATTGTAGCATAAACCAGTGTCGAGAAAAACGCGTCCAAAGCTATACTACGCAACACTCCGCACCGTCATTCTGGGGGTGGGGTACTATTACAGTATTTACGGTAAGTAATGATTTATATTTATTTTATTTAAATCATTTGTCGAAAAGCTTCTTTTGTTTCTAGCCGTATTCTCAAATCAATTGTTCATCCTAACCTAAACTCTTACCGCAAATGCTTGACGACTTATATCCGGCCCATCTTAGAATATGCTTCTATTGTTTGGTCTCCCCGCGCACAAGTCTTTATTGAACACTTGGAGAAAATTCAGAGGAGGTTCACAAAAGTCGCTTTATGGAAAATTGACTATTCTAAATATTCTAGCTTTACTTATGAGGAGAGACTTGCTTTTTTTGAACTAAAAACTTTACAGCATCGTCGCTTTGTCATTGATTTAGTCGAAACTTTCAAAATCCTCCGTTGTAAACAGATTAGCCCTTTGTTTATAGACTTTTTCAAATTTAAACCGCGGTCAGGGCCCAGAAGTGGCTCATTCCTTTTGCAAATTCCCTTTGCTTCCAATGCCTCTTTATCAAATTCATTTCCCGTTAGAGCCGCTAGATTATGGAACTTGCTCCCAAACGACATACGAGAAATTCAGTCGCTTTTCATATTTAAGAAACGTATCGATGCTTTAGATCTAGTGGCTCTTTGCCGTAAGTAATTGGCTTATTGATTTCAGTATGTATTGTATGATTAAGTATCACTGTGCATTTCTCTATGATTTCTTTCACTTTATCGTTTGAATAAAGTATTATTATTATTATTATTATTATAGTCAATGATCAAGTTGCAGCATGTTTACTTTCCAAAAATTTCGTGCTAATTTTGTACTACATAGGGCTGGGTTCATTCTTTGATTTTTGATTTTCTGAAAGCGAGTTGCTAACGATTCATTTTTTGTGATCTCCTCAAAAAATAGAATGCGTTTTTTGAAAATTTAACGCCAGAATAACCATTCGAAAGCTCTAATTCTCGGCATCATTAATCTACTAAAGATTTTTTTTGTTTAAAGTTAATTTCTAGCTTTTGAGGCACTTTGGACTGAATCCTACTTTCTATGGAAAGGTTCTCAAAAAAGTAGTCGCTATAATTGTTCAAGGTCGCGTTTGTTTTTTGGAGGAAACAAAGAGGATAAAGCTAAGTTACATTTTTAACAGCATTTTCTGCGGCGGAAGCTTTGTTTGCAGAGTTTTTTTTACACCCACTTGCTTCCCGATGAACTGCTCCACGAACTTGATGCCAACTAATGTTAAGTTAAGTGGTTTTTATCATTTTCTATGGCGGAAGCTTTGTTTTTGTGACTTTTTAGTTGAAAAAACGCAAAAAGAAAAAAATGAAATTTTGAGCAAATTGGAGGGGTACGGTAGTTTTACCACGCTTTAAAGCGCCAACCCAGGATTTTCTCAGAAAAAGCTCGCAAGTATCTCTTCAGGTGGACTCTTCGAAGTGCAGACTCCAGCTAGGGAACTATAAACAATCGTCTATTATAATCTAGATGTTTTCGCTCTTTTTACCGTAGTCTTCTTTTTATCTGCTTTCGTTTTACTTAAAGTTTTCTTGTACATTTTATTCTCAAAGCAAGTTGTGCTTATTCAATAAACATAAATAAATTCAATAAACATTGTGGTTAGGGTAGTCGGAACACGTTTTAGAGCAGTTCGGGAAAAAAATCCTGTTTGTAATTTCTAAAATTTCTAAAATTTTGTTTTGTTTTTGTTTATTTTTCCCAAAAATTTGAGTGAATGAATCAATCTTAATGACTGGTTTTTGAGTCGCCGATCTGCGGGATGGATCATCAATTAGCACAAAAAGAAAAGCCTCTCTTTAGCATTTACCCCCAACAATCGATCAGCTCACTCAAGAGGTCCTTTTCTCGGAAATTTGAGCTCAACAACTAGATCGAACATCGATCAACGAAAAAGACTTTCATCTCGACTTCCAGTAATCAGATCGACTTGAGGTTGATTTTAAAATGATCCTCATTAAATTTGGTTATAGAAAAGTACAATTTATCTTGTATACTCATGTGTAAGAACATACAGAAAAGTTGTATCAAAGTTGAACTACTTACCTACAAAAGTTGATCAACTTTGACGGTCTATAACGAGGTCATGAAAATGAGCTTATTGTTTGAAAGAAATCGCAATGATCAAGAGAGAATCAAGAGAGAATCAAGAGAGAATCAAGAGCTGATCGATTGTTGGGGTAAATGCTAAAGAGAGGCTTTACTTTTTGTGCTAACTCGACTCAAATCATATTGTTCTCTCGCAAAATACTGACAAAATTAGGGATAAAAATTGGTCCCAAAAATTTGGGCATAGTGACGCCCATCAGAGTAGGGAACGGCAATCAATTTAAAAGCCGAAGTGTTCTTTTTTAAACTAAAAAGTCCTGAAAAGTTAACAATAACATGATCTCTGGACAAAGCTAGTCTGCAAAGAGTGGCTAATCGTTCAAACTCTGGATAGCTCAAACATTAAAAACTCTGGATAACGGACAAGAGCCAAATTTTACCATCTGCCTTTCTCTTGATCTTGAATAGTCTTTTTTCACATTTTTTCATTGACCAAAGTTGAAAATTGTCGAACATGTGCCTCATAAAATGATTGCTTTTCTCTCATTGGCTTTTTTGAGTATTTGCCGATTGATCAACAACAATTTGATCAACATTCGTGAATGATTGTTTTGAGTAAAGTTGAGACGTAAAAATATTTGATATTAAATTTCAAGATCAAAGCCAGATTTTGCATTTAAAGCAAACTTTTGTTGCTCAGTTTGACGAAAGAAAAAAACGAGAAAGCTAGCTGTAACCCTGCAAAGATCTCGCCATCTTTTTGCCGAGATCAATGACGTCATCGAGCAGATTTCCGACAGCCACAAAACGAACACGAACACCTGAAAATCTGCGAATAAAAAAAAAGAAGAGAAATCGTTAAAAGTTGCTCTCTAATGAGGGAAACTTGCCCTGTTTTCTTTGTGCATTTCTTACTTTTCTTTAACTTGTTTTTTAGATTTCTAAAATATACTAAGAAATTTATTTGATTTAAAAAGATCCAGTAAGAAAGAAAGAAAGAAAGAAAGAAAGATCTAATCTAACTTTTATATTTAAAGATAACATAAAATCTTATCTATTATTAGTTTTACTCAAAATCTTTTAAATCTGGATTTTGGCTAAAAAGAAAGACTTAGATATTTGACTTTTAAGACTTTATAAAGCCCTAAAAGACTTTATAAAGCCCTTTTAAGACTTTAAAGTTACCGTAAATACTGTAATAGTACCCCATCCCCCTCGTACAGTCGCGTAGCCGCAAAAGTTTTTTTAGTATTTAATTTTTTTCAAAGCGATTGGAAGCAGTTACAAATCATTCTGAACAACTTTTATGCCAGTTTGAGCAACAACACCGAGCCTTCAAGAGTTGCTCTATTTCCACTGAATTTAGAGGTGCGGGACCGAATTAAGAGGCTTAAAACCTACCGTAAATACTGTAATAGTACCCCACCCCCCTCGTACAGTCGCGTAGTCGCAAAAGTTTTTTAGTATTTCATTTTTTTCAAAGCACCCGTACTTTCAAAAAATGCGTCTTTAGTATCAAAAAATAGCCCTGAATTTCAGCTATTTTTTGATACCTAAGCGCGCATTTTAGCATAAACCAGTGTCGAGAAAAACGCGTTCAAAGCTAGACTACGAAACACTCCGCACCGTCATTATGGGGGTGTGGTACTATTACAGAATTTACGGTAGGTTTTTGGATGAATATATAAAACTGTTTTGTTTTGTTAAAGAATTTAGACAATTTCAATGGTAAAAATTAAAGAAAATGATTCAATAAGGAA